GAAAAAAATATAACGGTAACCGGTTCAAAACGGTTCGCGGTATTTTTTTGTTTGTTAGTATTACAAATTTATTATTTGGGAATAAAAAAACTGGCAGCTGTGTTCCTATATTGATCAAATCGTCATATACAGAATTGCAATGTATAATAAATCCTGGTTTTCTGCGGCGCTTTCTTATTGGCACTGTGATTAGCCATGTGTCACATCGTCACGTGACGTCATGATGTCAGGACATGCTGTCAAGTAATGTCACGTTACGTGACGTCACGTGACTCACCGCGTAGATTCAAATTAAGGACGTCGCTAGATCTATTAACGTTGTTGATACCGTGACGTCACATGACATCACAACTTCGCACTGAGAGTCGCGTGACACAATGATGTACCCGATTGTCATGATCCCGAGTCGAATGCTCTGGTTCATGACAACCAGCATCGCCAAAAATTCGGGTGACGGCTCGTGTTCAACTCAAAGATTATGATGGGCCCGAGTCCCACTAGAACTAGAAACAGAAACAAACGACAGCGACAAGCCTCAGACACATGCAGCATGTTCGCGATGGTACCTTTATACGGCTTTGAGTTGTTCGGTGCTCGAGAAGTTAGCACGAGCGTTTATAAGCCTGCAAATGGTACCATCGTGTGCATGATACTCATGTTTGAGCATAGTCTTCTTTATTCTACGAAGCCTGTCAAATCGCGAAATACTCTGGTTTAAGGCTAGCCGCTGTCGTTTGTTTCTGTTTGTCGCTTTAGTGGGGCTCGGGCATTGTAGCCCAACTAAAACTATATCTGAAGATCAGCCCATGCTCTCTGCTTTGCCAACCCTGCGTATGACTATGATAAACACTGACGGTGTGTATATTAGGATCAGATCACGTGGCTGATAGTTCTAATTGCGAGTTGAGGAGGGGAAAGCAATTTCATTTCTTTCTTTCGACTGTCTTCCATTTCGCGGAGGGGCAAACTAATGGATGCTTTTGTAAGTTATCAACGTCAGGGATTACATTTTAGCGGTATTTATTGAACTTAAGGTAAAAAAAAATGCTGCACGACCCATTTTACATGTATGCACACCCTTGAGGCTCCCAAACATGTTTTCGTTATTGCTGAACTGCCTCAAAAAGTTGTCCCGAGAATAGAAGTGTTAAAGGGTCTAAATGTGACGTATTAGTCCGACGTTACATGAAACTATTAGTGTGTACGGGAGGGATACCTGAAAAGAAAGATCCTAGTGGCCTCAGGGGGATAGCAGCCGCTCTAAGTCTCACAGGAGTGTCGTTCTCAAGTTTTCCAAGTTTCGACCGCCCTGTATTTTGTTTAAACTTCACAGTGTGGTGCAAAGTAAAAGCAAGGAAGAATTACTGTTAACAAGTGACACAAATATAATTGTCGAGTGAACACCACTCAATACGGAGCAGGCAATCCCTGAGGAACAAAAAGTATCTTGAGGAGCAACTAAAAAAAAAAAAAAAGGGAGTGGGGAGGGGAGTAGTTTTAAAGCATACTGTGTCGTAAAGATTCCTCTGCCCCGCATTTTTGGCGCAGACTACAAAGCGTGGCCTGGAAACGGTAGTGACAGATGGGTAGTTGGTAAAACTTTTATTTGTAAAAACACTCTTGCCAGAAAGCACGTTTTCGTCGTGCGAGTTACTCGCGCCGTGCCTAACGCCGATGCACCAACAAGAAAAATGTGTGCCTCTCAAATACATAGCTTGCACTGAGCGCGAAACTTTTGCAGCGTGCATTTTGCCCCACCGAATTTGATATTCTCAGCAAGAACAACTCGCAATGACAACCAGTATCTAGTGCGATTACGTCACGCGCAAACCATGTTAAATACTTCAGCTTTCTGGTGAAGTGCGACGTTCGCAACACCAGCAGTAGACGTCCAAGGTGTAAAGTTGTGTAGTATTTATAGCAGTCTCGCGATGATATACGGCAGCCTAATGAGATGTTGGAGCACATGACTGATAAAGAACAGAGTCGTGAAGTAAGGTTCCAAAACAAGTGCACGTAGAACCTAAGATAACATTAGCCTCCCGAAGTAGTATCTCGCGGCGTTTCGAGCTGAGGTAAGCTGATGCCCAAAAGTGATTTATATTAGGATTTATAAAATTTTCGTTTGCCCTGCGCGGAATCTATGTTTAATTAGGAATATCATTTTATGCATTTCTATGCATCTCTTTTTGCAGTAAAGCGTTGTGTAAGGGATTATTTAGAAAAAATTGCGTGTCATCTCCTTATTTCTGCCCATTTCGTGTATTTGCCATCCGATATATCATGTGACCACAGTGTTTTTTGGCATACCCTGCAACCCAGTATTTTACACTGCAAAACAGCTAACAAAAGCACGTTGCCGAAGACTCAACAGCTGGCGTATTTTCGAGTATCGTCCTTCCGTGTCGGTCTCAGGCGGTTATGTGAACTTCATAAAGTCAAATTTATCGATGATAATAAAAATATACTTAATTCCTGTCTGAATATTTGGCAGCATAAATAGAAGATCCTCACCTCAAAGATATATAAGTAAATGCACCTTTAAATTATCTGAAAGATGTTCTGCAAATCTTTTTCGGCGCTTTTATCCTCTATAGACACGTTATAGGTGATTTGGAAAAGGTTTAAATATTTTTTTTTTTTTATTTTGAAGCTAATTTAAATACCTATATGTTCCTCACGCATATATAACTTCTCAAATATATAGAAGTTTATTATCGCCTTTTTTATGTGTTTTTATTATCGCGTTTTTTTACTGGAACGAATGGTGGAACTATGACGATTGCACACTTAAACTCTCAGAAAGTGTCCGATTAAGTAGCTTCCGAATTGAGTAGAGCACGAAATACCACTCTGTTCTATTTAACAAAAATCATCAATTAGCGAGGGTGATGCTCATTTGCAAATTAAATTGACCGGCATTTTGTCAAGAGCAAACCACAACATCCAGGCTATGCCAGTTTATCCAATATAAGAAAATGTACACATGGGTAAGCACTGTTTTAGGTCAGATTCGATCTCAGTACGAAGGTCCCCATAGATTAGAGTGAACTATTTCAGCCACTCCTTTTCGCATGACTCGTCGCCCGCATCATGGTGCTGAGAGCAAACAATGCTAGTTAGAAAAACAAGCATTGCAATTGTCGCTTAGTGTTTCTATAAAATATAGACTGGAAGGACTTGTCCCGTGACTTTCGTGACATTTTGAAAATTATATTGCCTTAAGCTCAGTCGTCTCGTAATCATATATATATATATATTGTGAAAGGTATTCCGTAAAACACATTTTATGGTATATATGGCGACGAGGTGCCCATTTCATGATTTTATTCACTGTAATTAATTCCTTAGTTCAAGGGCAAAACCACGATTCAACATCTGATACTGCGATACAAAGTTGTACCAATCACGGGTATTTTAGGCAACCTACTTCACTTCGCGAAAACATTTCGATTCAGGTACAATGTATGTGACTCTGGTAAACGAAAAGATGTTGAGTCGTATAAACTCGACGTTTTGTATGTTAATGTAAATTTTCTTGTCTTGTTGTGTAGGAATAAATAACAGAATTTTATAATTTTTGTACCTGAAAATAAAACTGGATTGAACAAACGATAAACAAAAAAGAAGAAAACTATATACTGTAAAGACTTATTTTTCGTGGGCTCAATATTTCGCGATTTAGGTCAAAGCTGAAGTTTTGGAATAATTCGCGGGTTGTAATTTTCTCGACCGCGGTAGAATCTCAATATAAATTTCAATGTGTTTACATTTTACCGAAATTTTTCGCGGGACCCATTTTTCGCGAATTGTAGGCGATTCACGAAATTCTCAAGAAGAGGTCCTCGCAAAAATCAGATCGTTTACAGCAGTTAGTTTCACGGCCTAAATAGTGCCTATTGACAGAACAACGCGGAAAATATATTCTCAATTTAGCGGTTCAAACCGGTTCGAACCGGTTCGAACCGGTTTGAACCGTTATTTTTTGCGCCCGGAACTGAACCGGAACTGAACCGAAAGCCGTGAACCCGAACCCGAACCGAACCAATAAAATTATCGGTTCGACACTCTGGTCACAGTAGAAAAACCCAGAGACAAGGAGCTTAAAAGGGGCAAGATCTGAGACAATATTGTTCTTGTCCTTCTTAGCGGTCCAAAAGTGGAACAGGCTACCCGAGGGAATAGTTCATTCTTGCTGCTTGTCAGAATTTGTTACACAAGTAAACAACTACCTACCGTAAAATACCGGGCAAGCGCCCACTCAAAATTTTGAGATAATCATGAAAAAATGGATGGGCGCTTGTCCGGTCATCAATTCTACATATCAATGTACTGTCACTGCGCATATTTTCTCAGATTTTACAAATTTGGGAATGGGCGCTTAATGTGGTATGGGCGGATGCACGGTATTCTACAGTAGACTTTTTCCCCTGCTCAGTGTGCATTGTGTTAGCAGGCTGTGTCTGTGGTTTGTAGGCCCTATATTTTTTTTGCTTCTGGTGCACTGTCTTTGTCGCTTTATTATATTAATTGAATGTGGTTGATCTTTGTATTTATGCTTTGAATAGTATAAATATGTGAGCCCATTCTTGAGATTTTGCAAGGAAGAAGATCCTCCTCAGCATGGGGGAGGACGAATCCGGCAACAGTGGACACGCTAGAAGGGGGAGAGAAAAGTGGAAAGCGCGAACTGGTCGTCGGTCTTTAAGGCACTGTCGGCCGTTGGACAGTTTTTGTATATTTGAAGTGTTTTTCACTCCTACCATATCTCCAAGTTGGAGAATGTAGTATTTATAAATAAAATAAATAGCCTTGTGTGCTCGAGGTATATCTAATCAGCCTGTTGCATCTCTCCGAGCTATTTATTACAAGTACACTCGTTCAATAGTATGGGAGCTTCGGTAGACTCGGTCTTGCTTCTTTGATGTAAATTAATATGTATCAGCAGACACGAGCTTAAATTCAGCTGAGCACTCGTCGAAAGAAAACCAAGCTGAACGTCCGCTTAAAGAATCGCCACTTTTATTGCATCAATAAAAACTAGAACCTAGGTAACATGAACCATGGTGTGTTGTCAAGCGGTGCAGCAAAAACACTGTTTTCTCTTTACACCCCCGGGTTATCGTACAAGGGAAGCACTTTTTTTTTCACCGGCAAGAACTCTGGAGGTTGAGGGGAGGGGCACGGCCCTCACACTTTCTGTACATTTGACGACGACAGCCTTGGATGCCATTGCAGTGCCTGAGGAAAAAAGGACGAGAGAAAATGTGCGAAAAAGTTCACATGCTAAGCGAGCTTCTGCCAGATTCTCCAATTCAAGCATAGGTTGGTGTTTACTTTTTAGGGTGCACAAATTTACCGCGTGAAATTGTCCTTCACCCTTAAAACATTGAGCCCCAATGACCTAAAACTGGAGACAGGGAAAATAAAAAAAATTACAGGAGGACTATCTGTAGGAATGCAAAAGCATACATATGCATAGTGTATTCCTACGAGCTGCGCGCCCTGCTCTCCTCCGCAGAGTTAGGCTGAGCAGCCTCTGCGGAGGCCGGCCGGCCGAGCTCTGGACAGCGGCGCACCTGCTGCTAAAGAGCGGTGCTGTGGCGTGCGGGCCGCAGTCAATCTGGTGCGTCGCAGCCATTTTAATAGCCGTTCTGCGGAAGGAATTTCTCTGCCAATTTTTTCCCAGTTACGGTGCTGAGGGAATTTCTCTGCCATTTTTCGAGGTAACGAACAGAGCCTCGAACAGAGCTAGCATGCTTTATATACATGCTGTTATCTTACCATCATACTAACAGTACTACATACTTGTTCATGCAAGCTTACTGTTGACTGGTATAGACGTTTTCCTGAAGTTTACTATTATGTACATATGCCACTATGGAAACAGTGGTGTGTAAACAAAGTCGTCATCCTCGATTCCCTTGCTTCTTTATTGTTTTCCTACTTCTGAACTTGCACGTGAATAATTTGTGGAACATCCTCGGAGGCAATGTGTTGAACGAGGATAGTAGAGTTGGAATGGTTCAAACCGGGAGGACATGTAAAAATCTATAACGTCGTTCCAGAAAGTCCAGTATGCACCGTGATCAAGTTTACTCGTGGTCACAGTCCTAATTAAAGTGTCTTCTAACTGGTCCCTCTGATTGGCAGATACGAGCAGATGGCACGGCACTTGCAAAGATTCCTGTCGAAAGTAGCCTGACGGTGATTCTCGGTTACAACAGATCAGCATTTAACGCAGAATGTGTTTTATGAGGAAGTTGTTATGCACAAGCATCATGAATGGTCGACACGAGCGAATGTCGCGAATGAGCATCATGAACGAGCGACATGAATGAGCAACACACTGGGGGTGTTATACACCATTGACCCCTTAACCGTTTTGAGTTTTAGGAATTTCCTGAACCTGAACTGCTTAGCGTCTTCACAATCAAATTTCTTGCCGTCAAATTTTTATAGTCGGTGACAGGTTAAGGGTAAAGTGGAAGCTCCTCCCACCTCTTTCCCCCCTTAGCGGAGCAGCGGATGCTGGAGAGGAAGCAACCTCTCAAGCGTTTCCTCTGGCGAAACGGAGAGGTGGAAGGAACTTCCATTTTACCCTTATCCTGTCATCAACTATAGACAAGTGTCTCCTCTGTTCCATGGGCGCCGCCATTTATGTTTATGCCGACGCCATGACACAGTAGGGGGCTGCAAGTTTTGCAAGACTTTGTTTTTTCAGAAACCTTCGGACACTGTAGTGCAAGAACGTCAGAAATACAGTCACAAAGCACCAACAACAACACCGATGCCACGAGTGCCGTAAAAAGTGAAAATCTTGTTTTATGTTTAGCCCCTCTCTTCACAATTGAGCCTGCATTTGAGATTACTATTTCTCTTTTTATCACTGGGGGCTAGTATTTCAGACACTGGTCGATAGCCACAGACAAAATGGAAAGAAAATTAAAAAAAAAAAAAAAAAAAATTTGTGTTGCCATTTGTTGGCAGAGCTGCAAACCAAGCCATGAGCAAGCCTGGGTCGTCCAAAACCGTTGAGTGCATGAAACATGGAAAGCAGACAAGCTCCACTCATCCCAAATGGTTAAGAGAATAAGGTTATATATAAAGCTTGTGTCCCAGTGGGGCTCCAACCTGGGTAGGTGTGGTGGCAGTTGCATGCAAAGGCCACCGAGCTGTGCAGCACAGCTAATCTGCAAGCACTGCGGTCCCAGCAGGAAATGCCGATGGGGGCGGCACGACGTCGTACCATATATCGTGTGACCGCTCGCCTCGTTGACGTCGCGTATCGTGAAAGAGCCACGTAAGGTAGCGCCTGTGCGGCATGCTCATTCGCCAGGTCTTGACCTGGCTAACATCTGTGGTACACAATGAAAGAACTAGCCCAAACCCCACACGGAGTGAGGTTTGTGCGGGACACATTCTGTGCTCCCTGTTTTTGTCGGCATGATCGAGCTCACGTAAATTTTTTTTGACAAAAGCTTCGTAATTGAAATACTCTTCAAATTATTTCATTCGAAGAAATCACTTTAAATGATTTAAGTTTGTACTGGGATAACAACCAGTTTTGACAGATACTGCCACATCAGCCCCAAGAAAAAATCTTTGTAGAGCATGTAGCGAAAGGCTACGGACAAAAGAAAATTGTCAAAAAGTATGAGGGCACTTTCAATACTACTGCATTTGTCCGATTTATCATTGAAAGTACTAGGTAGCTTCTCCTGTGACCAACCTTTCTACGAAAAAAAACGCGCAAAGGTGAAAGCATCAAAGTTTTGAGCTGTACGATGGTTTTCTTAGAAAGTCGAGTTTGTTTGCAAACTACACCTCGATAAAATACAACCTCCGATACAAAAACAAAATATTGTGCCACTTTCACGTCGCAAAAAAAGTGGGAAGATAAGCGAATGCGCACATAGCATCTTAATTGCCAAGACGGGCTGTTACAATTGCAGCTGCATTAGTGTTTATTATTGATCAAGTATTGCTGGCCACATGCTGACACTACTGCTTATGAAACTTGTAAGTGAAAACAGAGACGCACACAAAGGTGACACCAGACCCTCCCCCCAATCCTAGGTCTAATCCCCACTTCTGCCGTTTCAATCTGGATAAGCACGTATCGGCATATCGCTATACATACTGCCTGATGCACGTTGAAAACCGTACTGCACCGGCCAAATTTCTCGCTAATAGCGTAAACTAGTGTCGTAGTACCTCAAAGGCAGACCAACCTTACGCTGTCTAAACACGAACGTCAAATTTGTTTCCTTAAGGGGACAATGACAAACACTCATCTGTGTCCCCTTCCTCACATCCGTCTCTGTTTGCGCTTAACTGTTTCCCGAGCCCCATGCACCAATTAGCTTAACAACATGTCTCACTAAATTTGGTATACTGCCGAAAGCAAGGTCTGCTTTTCAGCGCCGACTGCCAATTTCGAGAGAATGTCTGGGATGCAGTGTTACCTAGTAACTTCGGCCAGCGAGCACAGGGCCTCTCTTCAGGACTTCATCTACGAGGAAGCAAGAGTTGCGTTAGCCAATGCACTAAGCAGTCGTCGCATCTGCAGAAACCATCCTTCACCACTCCAACAGGCACACTATACTCCGTTCACCCCTAAGCCGACAGTGCGGAGGAGGCCATACACGCAGGCTCGCAATAATTCAAATTGGGATAGTACATATTTCTGGTTAATTCCAACAAATTTAAAAATTTTGGTTGCCCTGCAATGTTTTTAATGCATTCATAATCCTCTTAATTGGAACGGCCTTTATGTGTAATTTATACTTTCTAATGCAAAAGCATTAACTATCCCATGCAGCGGAGCTGGTGGCATCTGTTACTGAAATAAAAAAAACGTGAAAGAAATGCCCATTCTCCCATTAGCTGAGCAAAACGGCTCCTACATAGCCATTGGTGGCCGCTTCACGAGAGTGTGTCAGGTGTTGCCGGAGGGGAGGAGGGGAGGAGGGGAGGGGGGGGGGGGGGGGAGCTCCGGCCACTTCCCGAAAATGTGCACTCGGTCGCCATTCTCGTGGTAGGCGTTGCCGGAGGGGGTGGCGGGCTGCGACCGCTTCTGCTCTTTTTGGCACCGAGGAACATGGCGGCGCCTGAAGGCATCTATATCGTCGGCGGCCACAATATTGGCAGTAGCGAAACGTAGCCGTCCACGCCAGTATACTGCAGGCGACATAAGGGAGTGGAAGAACGACATTCATGCTTTCGCATTCACAACTTGTAAGAAGTGCTTTGGTGTCCTCGGAATTTTGTTCTCGCGGCCCGTTGAGTGAGCTTCTTTCCGAGCACCGGTGCACTGCAGAGAGGCAACACCCGCAGGGCTTGCTTCCGCGGGTGCTGATTCTCCGCAGTGCACTGGTGCTCGGTGAGAAGTGCACTCTACGGGGCCCAAGTAGGGCACCATTAGAGACACTGAATGTTCCCACGGTACCGAAACTACCAAACTCTAGGCGCCAAGGTGGCAGCTCAATCTTGTTTTCTTTACTGTGGCCACCAAGAGTTTTTAGAAAGCATGTCTTTTTGCATAAAAACAAACGAAGAAAGCTCTTTTTGTAGGAAATTTTACTGGAGATTAGCACAAAATGACAGGAGCATGATGTTTTCACAAAATTTTAGTTTACAAAGTTTTGCAGCTCAATTAATATTGTTTTTATAAAACCACATCTCACTGGTGACTTTATGTAGTGCGTCCCGACCTGGACGTGTCCTAGCTTTGGTGATCAATTGCAGAGCGTCTGCTTGGGAGACGGGGGTTGGCATCCCGGAACCCTTTATACATTCTGGCGCCAAAATGGCCGATCAAAGCCAAAACTGAACTGTAACAGCGGACGCTATTGAATGCGATACACTGGCAAACAAACATACAGTGACTCTAGGCACCATGAGCTATGAAAACGGGCACGGAAATTTCAATAGCAACTTGTGCGGACGCTGTGATGTGGCGGCATGGCAAAGGTCCATGTAACAGCGTCCGCGCAAGTTGCTCTGAAAACTGACATGCGGTGCCTGTTTCCATTGCTCACGTGTCCACTGCTTAATAGTTCACATTAGACAACTTCTTGGCCTGATAAACAAACTTAATTCTGTTGAGTTGTCCTGTGCTGTCCTGTGCGGCATACCTGCTTATGATCAGTAGGCTTATGTAGAGGATATCAAATATCTGCTTTGTATGTGTAGCCATTCATAGGGAAAATCAAAATTTTATCTTTCATCATATTTAGATGAATTTCTGATAATTCAAATAAAATTTGTGTTTTCCTGGACTTTGAATTAATGAGTCTACTTACGCTTTGAGCAGTCACCCGTCTATCTTTCACCACGTGATCACGCTCCCGCCCCAACCCACGTGTAGATGGTGCAGGGTCGTGCGATAGAATGTAGGCGGCCGATTGGTCTGGCGAGCGCGTAGCCTCCACTGCACTGTCAGCTTAAGGCTGGTCACGTATTTGCATTTCCAATCTGGGTATCGCAAGACTGAAGGTTTTGCAGTATTTGCGAGACAAAATTCAAGCACCATCTACGAGAAATGATCGCTTGTAACATTATCCAAATCATTTCGAGCCCACGGTGGAATAATGATAAGCAAAACATTTTCTGTGCCAACTGGCACGTAAACTCCACAGCCACCCCACAGATGATGCCAGTGCGTCCTACAAGGAGTTGCCACGCAGTCGAACATGCTTAAACGTAAATGCCCGAACCAACCTTTAGGGGTGAACGGAGTGTAGTGGGGGGATCGGGGAAAGCGAACCAGGCTAAGCATTCCAACACCAATCCCATTAAGAGGTGAAAACGTTCTTACATGCCCACTATCAGGCCCCTGTGTGTCGTTGGAGAGATTGGGTTTTGATGGCGTTAATGGCGGCCGGCGTTTGTTAACGCTACGCTCTCAAAAATTTGCTCAGACCCGGAACTCACCTGCACTTGTTTGGCCTCTTCTCTTTGCGATATCAGGGTCTTCTGCTCGTCCGAGAACTTCAGCACGGCAGCTATGACTTTGGATAACGTCTGCGGGGAGAACGAATTCTGGATTATCTGGACACCACGAACAATTGGAAAATTGCCCGCAACTTTAATGCACCCCAAGAGCACCTTAAATGCATAGCGTTTACAAGTCCTCTGTGGCCTCGTAGTGTCACCCCCCATCACGTGACATAACATGACACCGTGGCATTGTGCGACACTGCGACGTCGTGTAACCATCTGATGCGATGTCGGGTCATGTACGCCACAGTGCTACATGATGCCGTGGGGTCACATGATGTGACAGGATGTCGTGGTGTCACGTCACAGTGTTACACGACACTATAACCTCGCAGTGCCATGTGACAACCGTCGCACTGATGGCATCGCGTGAACACCGTGATCTCATTGTGTCATGGTAACATCAATGTGACCCTATAGAATGCCTCTAATGTCACATGAAAACCGTGATGTCATCAGCGTGATGCGAGCATCAAGTGTACATGCCATGAACAGAAAAGTGCTCAAAGTTGACCCCACATAAATGCAGTATTTAAAAAAAAAAAGTTAGTTATAAGTTGTTTCTTTAAGAAATTTTCTCTAAAATTTGCAGACAAATGTATAATCTCGAAAAATTAAGCCCGCCAAAAACAATGCTAGTCTGTTTAGTAGTCAAAAAATCAAATGCTATCATAACAGAATCAAAATATTATTTTGTGGTTTCCACGAGGCTTTGAAAAAGCAAACGACGTCCACGAACCACTGTCTCCTTGCCCATCATGTACTCGAACAGGATGTTCCTCAGGTACTGAAAAGAGAAGATGGTATTTTAGATCAGTGGCCATCATTTGTCGCTCACCTGATGATCAAAGACAACAAATTATACACTGGAGCTTTTGATAGTCCCATTCCAGGAGAAGGTACAGTTGTGCATCTTTAACCCCACTATATGGACACCATTTTCGGAGATGAACTGGGTAAAGAAACATATTTTTGTCTCAGTGTTATGGACAACTCCCATCACGGACGCTTTTCTGGGAGAACGGAGGTGTCCATATTAACGAGACCTCAATCTGCATTTGAACACACAAGTGACCAATCCCAGCTTATCCGTTTGAACTCCTTATTAACTGGGAAGGGTGTACATAGCACACACACACTTGCACTTTATGATTGTGGAACACCTTTGCAAAATTTGCAAAAGAGTTTAAGCAGCATCAGGAACGCTTTGAAAAATAAGCCTACACACACCTCGTACTCGGTGGGCTCGGGGAGCTTGACGCTGTTCTTCTCCGTGAGGTTGGCGTTGTTGTTTTGTCGAGAGCCCAGGATGCATCGTAGGTCATTAATCTCGTCCCTGTTTGGTCGAAAAAAGAAAAAAAAAAATTGCTGCATTTAACCAATAGCTGCGCCGCTTTGAAGGAGTGTGCATTTGCTCTCGCAATGTTTGTTTCCAAAACTACAATCTGGTATTAATTCCGGTTCTGTCAAACGTATTAATGCTCAATGCATCATCACAGACATTTATGCCTAAGACCATTAGTTCTGTCACGTCATTTGCTACATCCGCCCCCTAATTATTAGCTACGGTATTCACGTAATCTGTGTAAAAGAAGAGACACTGCTCAAGAACAACTGGACTGTTCATAAGCAGTATGGTGTAATCGTCGAACGGGAAGATCAGTGAAGATCGGCGGTGTCCCAGTAGTGGTGTCCCAGTGCCACCGGTGCTGGGACACCGCCAGGATTGCGACCGGCGACAGCGTGACGCTTCTGTGACGTTGTCGGGCGGAAATCGAGAGACCGCTTTTTTTGGATTCACAGCGGTCGGAGAAGTGTTCCAGGTACCACAGAGACAGGAAATGTCATGCTCGCCAACGCATTCAGCCGAGCCAATCCAGTAGTAATGGGCGGGGCCACCGTTCTGTGGGTGGAGCCTAAAGCAGGGGCTAAGTGCCACCTAAATGTTGACTACAATCGTAAATATCGCGCTAATTTCTTCTTTTTTTTTTTCAGCAAAATTAAGAAAAGTGTGTTTTCTTCAAGCCCTTTAAAAGACTTCTAAATTTTCTTTTTTTTTATTTATGTGTCTTTTGAAGTAAAGTGTTTTCCCTGTTTAAGTACTATTTTAGCAGATCTGAGTCATCCATTGATGCCTAATTATGAGGCAGACACTCTCTTGTTTATGCATTACCACTGCTTCCAGCGTTTGCAGGCTTGTGTATAGTATTGATTTACTGCATCAATGCCGAGATCGGAAGGCCTTCCCCATCTGTCTTCCAACACAGACGGGGGTTCCTCAAAATCGAAGTTTGAACACCGTCCCCCCCCCCCCCTCCCGATCAACAGCACAATCATTAACAAATAGCCATCAAAGCGATCTCAAGATCACAACCGGAATCACCATGACAAAAATGGTCCCACTTATTTGCGAGCTGGACCACTCGTAGTGACTAGGCAACGAGGCTGCACTCCGAAATGAGCGAGTTATTGCACGGATGCGTCGAATTTCGCGCACGAAAACTGAAAGAAATGAAGAGGCACTTCACTGGTATTTCCCGACGGCCGACTTGAGGGCTTCGATCTGTTGGGTGTGCTGAAGACACTTGTCTGCCACGTTCCTCGGAGCCGTCTTGTGCGTCGGAGAGTGGTCCGCCGACGACAGGTTCCACTCCTCCTGGGAACGCGAGGCAGTCTATTAATCGAAAAGCGTGGCAGAATACGCTATACACATTCAGAGTGCTTAACTCTTGATATCATGGCTCGATTCCATTCGACACTTACCGTATAGACTGAACGTGTTTCAGATAAAAAAATTGAGAGGTGCACGATTCTCCCCAAATGTGTAGATATAAAGTTTATTTTTACTGCAAATTGAAAACAAATATTAAAGTTTGACTGCAAATCAAATCAAAATGCTGTAAACAACTTAATTTTTGTAACTAAATATTGTCAATTTCGCAACTTCAAAAATTGTTGGGAAAAACTGATCTCATGAATATATTGTCTGATGGTGTGTGTACGTTTATACAGCCTGAACTTAGTCTGCCTCAACGAACGACTGGTCTCTCAGCTGTGGATGAGCAATTCAGCCAGTGCGGTACAAACCGCTAGCCTGGGGTCTTTAAAGGCCGACCAACAAGCAGAGAGAAGGAAACTCTCCCTCAATTCCTCCGTTCCATTTGAGAAAGAGGGAGACCTCCTTGTCTCTACCGGGAATAGTTCAGAGATCCGCTCCTGTGTGGAGAGGAGGGGAAAAGTGGGCGAGAGGGAATGGAGAGAAGGAAACTGGGAACCGTTTTTTTTTTCCCGGTAGAAGACGATTCTGTAGGTCGGACTTTAACATGTGCCATGCGGTAGTGATACACGAAGGCACGCCGGTGTGATGCTCGTCCAAATCGAAACGGGCAGGGGGCGGGGATTGAGCCCAGGATCCCTGGGTTCTGCAGCGCAAGCTTTCGCTTCACATGCTCCGAGCTGGTGTGCGCCAGCCCACTCGGCCACTGATCCCCCCCCCCCCCCCCCCAATCATCTGATGAAAATGGATACACAGCGTATCACTCAAATTGCGAAATTTTGTGCATTTCAAATATTCCCAAAACCCACACTATGAAAAATTTGTGAAGCACTTTGATTTGTGAAGTACCCTATAGATTTGAAAACAGCTTGATCTTTTTTTTTGCAAATACTCTGAAAAATTTTGCTACCACGCCGGTGCAAAGCAGTGAAGCTTGTTGTGCAGTGCTGCGAAACTTGACGTTCGTGCACTAGTAGTGGAAAGCGGCGAAGCTTCACTGCTTCGCACCGGTGGGGAAGTGAAAAAGTTTGGTGCTCGCAGAATTCTGAAGACATTATTCGTAACAACTTTTAAATATTCGAAAAACTCAAATACATTAAGTATGCTGCAAACATAATTGGATAGCAAAAACACTATTTATGAATAATTCAAAGTTTCAAATATTACCACACCTTTACCCAAAAGCAACAAAATAATATGGCCCCTTGATCTTTATTTTTTACAAATAAATAACTTACCCCCAGAAACAAGTCTTTTCAAAACTGTCATGCGAGAGACCTAGAGTTTAAGAAAAGAAGCTTGAACTGATAACCATTTTTGATCCAAAATTGTTTCATTTGCCTAAAACAATAAAAATAGAGCTGAAAAAGTGGCATACTATAGTGCTTTCAATTCGTTTAAGGTCCATTTTTTTAATCCTCTCCAGTGGATCAAAATCAGGAAGGTAGGACTTTAGTTCATTGCACTTCGAGACCACAAGTTATACTGTTTGAATACCATGGCTGTGCCAACAGTAGTACCATACTATATAGGTGATGCATCATTTAGCTGCTGGCTTCAATGTCAGCTGGCAGCACTTTGGATGGAATGGTGTATACGGCCCACTTTTTCGAAACAAGGAATGCATAGAACTTGTATGGGCAAGAAGGGTGATACTCTGAACATGTAACACTGCTAACACAATATTCCAAGAGCAGCACAAAGCACTGCCACCGGTGCTGTATGAGTACCGGTTGCAAAATAAAAAGATGGTTTCATGGCCGGTGAGAAGGTACAACCTGCTTTCCCAAGACAAGGAATGCAACATGCTTGTATGGCCAGAAGGGTAGTGCTCTGACGCTGCTAGCACGATTAATTCCAAAGGTGCCACAAAGCATTACGACAGCTATTGTACTAGTACCGGTCACGTGATTGTATTTCTATATTAACATCAGCACAAAATACAATAAAAGGTAGCCTTGCAAGCAGTGGCAGAACCAGGAACTTATTTTTTTGAAACAAGGGGGTTGGAATGGCAGGATTTGGGAAAAGGGGGAGGGGAGAGGCATATTATCTGGCTGGCTGCATTCCAGGAAGGGGGGCTTCAGCCCATAAGCCCTCCCCAGCTACGCCACTGAAGGTGGGCACCATAAAACCCGCAAAGCACTCACCTCATCCACCTTGGCCCACTCCTCGTCCCAGCCACTGTGCTCCACACCGTCGACGGCTGGTGCCTGGCCCACCTCTCTTTGGAGTGCTTTGAATTCTTCTTCTTTTTTCTGCACAACAGTTGCGAAAGCAGAACCAGTGAGTTGTGAGTATGCAGTGCAAGTATGTGCTCCCAAGAAGTGGTTGAGAGCACGGCAGACTACTAAAAAACCGCTCCTCTCTTTCTTCTGCATGTTTTCCTTTAATGCACTTCACATTGAGCTACAGAAACTGCGTTTTCCTTCCACTGATATCTCGTCTGCACCACCATCCTCTCATTTCACACTTTGTTGGCCTATGGCACTGCGGCAACCACAGCTCGATGCCATTGCAACGACCAGTGGACGTGATGTGGCACGTTTGACGAATCCATGTTTCGAATACCTCGCGACATTGCTGCGACGCTGCTTGAAGCCTTTTCATATTGCTCATTCACAACCTTCCCACTATGAAGGGAGGTGAGAGCCAGTCATTCGGTCAGCTGTCCTCCATTTTTCGGTGAATTGCTCCACATTTTCCTCACTGCACCGCTTTTGGAAACATTATATTAAGTGCAGCAAAACTATGATTGTATACTAGCTTTGTTTCAGCCTAGGTAAGCAAGTTCTAAAAAGAAATAGCAAAAAATAAGAACTGCGGGTGGAATTTTTAAATAAACTACAAGAAGCTCTATTTGGAACGCACTTCCCGATCAAGATGTAATTGAACCAAATGATAAGCACTAGCTAGCAGTTGCAATTAAAATGCAATTAAATGCAAAGGTCCAAGCGAGCTGAACAAGAATGACGAAAATAATCCCTGGAGAAGGGAAACAAAAGGGAAAAAGGACAAACACAAATCTCCAAACACAGCTAGGTGACTGGTGCGCGACCAAAGAAATCCGCCTGGTCATGATATCGAACCAGGGACCTGTCCATTTCCAGTGGAGCGCTCTACCAACTGAGCTGACCCCTAGATAGCTCAGTTGGTAGAGCGCTCCACTGGAAATGGACAGGTCCCGGGTTCGGTACCCGCGGACAAGGTGGATTTCTTCGGTCGCGCACCAGTTACCTAGCTGTGTTTGGAGATTTGTGCTTGTCCTTTGTCCTTATTGTTCCCCTTCTCCAGGGATTATTTTGGTCGCACTAGCAGTCACCCTTTTAGTAGAGTAAATTTTCCACTTACCCTGAGGATGCCCTGGTAGTGCTTGTGCACTTCTTCCAAGGCAGCCACTTTTTCGGCCATTTCGGTTTCCATGGCTTCCATGTCTCTCTGGTGTTCTGCGGCGAGCCTGTTCTCCAACTGCTCCGCTCTGTCTGCTAGGGGCAAGAAGAAAGGCAGACAGTGCTTGTGTCACATTACTGTATGCATGCAAGCTGCTTTGTGTCAGTCACGATTGTAGCTCAGGATGCTTAGTACTACTATTTTGATTCAAACTCAGTGTCATCTTTGCATAGCAAAATTTAGAAGAACTTGAGGTTCGTTTCCACACAAATATCTTGAAAAATGTTTGTCCCTACAGGGACTGCTTTTTTGTTTCTGCAGGATGTAACATTGCAATTGCTCTTTTTCTTTCAGTAAACTCAGCCTCAATGCAGTCAAACATGCTCAAATGAATAACTAGGTGAAATTTTTACAGTTTACAGTGCTGGATGTCCTTTTAATAAATTTGGTATTAGCTTGTTTTTTGTGTTCTAAATGCAATGCAAATGCAAAAGAAAAAAGCAAAGTTATTGCAGACACACGGGGCATGGCAACACACTTAAAAGAGCCCAGTAAAATAAGCTAATTCTCTCCCTTTAAACCACTGAGTGCAATGAATAACAAAAGTAATGTGTCCGGGTCCTATTTTATGAAGAGGCCCAATGTGTGAAAAACAACAAACACAAGAAGAAAGACGTGCTCACAAATAATTGAAAATTGACACTAAACAAACCTTGATAGTTGAATTCTAAATATCCTAAAGCATATATGCTAAATTTGATTGTGGTAGGACAATATTAAGGACAAAAATCAATGTGTGCAAGTGTGAAGGTGCCCCAAAATTACATAGAGAAAAACGAGTTCAAATATTACCATAGATGTAAAACAACACTCTTCTAAACAGTCAAACAAAAAAAAAAAAGTTTCTTAATATTTTTTGTGAGAATTTGAAGATAAAGAGGACTGCGATGAAGAGAAGACGGCTAGGCCTAATTCTCAACATAAAAGTTATGGCAGCGGATGTCACAATTTGAAAATGCAGAGCAAACCCAACTGACTTAAATTCATGTTGTTCTGGCTTCAAATGTGTGACTAATTTCGCGATCATAAAAAGTCGTATAATTTTTATACATAGAATATAAAGATTCAAGAATAGTAATACTCCTTAAAACCCAGTCACATTTCTTGTGAAATATGGCAATTTTTCGACCCGCATCTCTCCTCAAAGGGGCATTAAAGTGGATTTTGATATCATCTTCTTTATGACGTGAAGTCAATCTATGCACCCTAAGCATATCCTAAAAACTCAAAATTACAAGCACACATGTCATTTTTTGCCCCTCAAATTTTGGCTGAACGTTGCAGTACACCCATTTTATAAAATATATCTCATAAAAAGAGTGTGTTGCAGTATTTAATCATGCTTTTAGTAAGGAAAAAAAGCCACATATAGTTTTAATTTTTTACTTTTTATGATTCTTAGGGCAGATAGATTGAGTTTGTACCATAAAAAGAGGATCTCAAAATCTGCCCCTTTAAAGGGACACTGACAGGGTACTTATGCTCGCCAAGCTTCTTTTTTGTACATTACATATGAGAGCGCAACTACCCAGAACAAAATTTCCGGCTCAAAATTCGTCTCCTTTCTGCTCGAAAACTGCCAATCGAGAACTGGCCGGCTTGAGTCGCGCTCACTCTCTTCTCTATGGTCACGTGCCATTCTCTATGGTTTAGACAAACACATCAAATATAATAAGAGTCGTGGGTCATCGAAGGCATCACTCAATATTTAAGATAGAAAAAATATGATACCCATTTTTTGTGGCTTCTAAAAAGCTGCAAATACATTGACTGAAAAAAAAAAAAAAGTTCCACAAAGAAACGAAAGCACTCTGTGCGTTTTCTGCATAATTCTGAACATGGCATTGTATCACAAAAGTCACGGGCTAGACGGCTAAAGGAAGTGGATTAAGCGATGGCAGCAGACGAGGGGCGTGGGACCTCTACTTCAGAGCTGTTGTTCGCGGTACAGGTGAATCTGTCTAGCTTCGGAAGAGGAATCTTTTACCAATCAAAACAATTAGGATTTATTCCATACGACGCGCCCGACCACCAAGCTAATCTGAAAGAAGATGTCGCCGAGTTATTGCCCCTTCTGCTGGCTGAAGACATCGCCCGCTGTAGAAATGTGAATTGGCAAGAGCTTAAGAAAAAGTGCAAATGTCGAGCACAAAGTGCTTGACTTTTACGTTTTTCAAGCAATATGCGATGTGTGCGTTTTTCGTCTGCTTCGTACAACAAGAAAACAAAGGAAAAAAGAAAAAGAAGAAAGAGAAAACGCAATCGGGTGTAACCACGTAACTTCCGGCAACTCAGTGATTTCCCTACACACCCCCTCGTTTTTCTGAAGGCTACCCCTTAATTCGCAATGGCTCCTCTATTCTCAGTGCCTCCCCCTCTAAAAATTTAAACCCCCCCCCCCCCCCCCCCCCTAGTTTCAATTCCTAGGGAAACCCCTGCGGCAACTCCCTCTTCCACTACATTTCTTCTTCCCCCCCAATCCAGTTTCAGTTACGATTTTGAGCAGTTGCATTTTTTTACTTTATTTAATATATATGTGACGCTGTAGCAAAATATTGATTGGGGCCCGCGTGTCTCCTGACACCATAATAAATCGCCTGGCAAAAAAATAAAAACATTTTGTTGGAGGGGATGTCAGTGTCCGTTTAAAGGGACACTGACAGGGTATTTATGCTCTCCGAGGTTTTTAGTTGTACGTGACATATGAGAGCTCAACTACCCAGAACAGAATTTGCAGCTCGAAATTCGGTTTCTTTCCGCCTGAAAACCGCCGATCAAGAACTGGCCGGTTCGAGTCTCGCTCACTCTCTTTTCCGCGGTCACGGGCCATTTTCTAAGGTATCGATGCGACCACCAAATTTAATCAAAGTCATGGGTCACTGGAGGCACACACTCAGTATTAAAAATAGAAAAAAATATGAAACCCATTTTTTGTGGCTTCTAAAAAGCTGCAAATACGTTGATTGAAAAAAAAGTTCCACAGACAACCGGAAGCATTCTGTGCGTGCGTCGTTTCGCGTATCGTGGGACTCGCAGGGACGGCGATGGCAGCGGACGACGGGCGTGGGACCTCTATTTCAGAACTGTCGTTCGCGGTACCGGCGAATTCTGTCTACCGTTAAAAGAGAAATTTGGGACTGATCAAAAGAATTGGTATTCATCCCGTACGACATGCCCGACCACCAAGCCGATTTGCACTAAGACGTCGCCGAGCCGTCACTCCCTTCTCGTGACTGAAGACATCGCTCGCGCAAACGTCAAGCACGACGTGTCTACTTCGAGTTGAATATGCACGCGTACGATTTCTTCACTAGGTGAGAATGTTGCCAATGCGTGGTGCATCCCGACTTCGACCCGGGAGTGCTTTTGCTAGAGGAAAATCGGCAGCAAACTTTCCAACTTAGTTTATTAGCTGAATTATCACCAAGGAAAGATCCCCCAGTTTGGTATGCCCCATTAGCTCAGTGGGAAAGACGTCCCCTTCACATGCGGTAGGACCGGGTTCGATCCCCCGTGAAACTTTTTTTTTTCTTTTTTCAAATATTTTTTGATGTCTACATTTCTTGTTTTTTTTACAATTATCATTGAAGAAAAAAAAAAATAATAAGAAACAAATGTTGTGGACGAGACGTCGCTGAATTAAATGGTATGGGATTTCCTTTTTGACACCTGCGAACTCAATGTAATCTTTTTCCACAAAATGCAAGGAGCATATAAATCAGCGTCCGCTTTCCGAGGTGCCCGTAAATGGTCTACAGGAATTGCAGCCAGCCATTGGTCCCGATCCCGTTGATCTTTTGGAAACTCTGTCGCACAATGCCACTTCTGTTTTGGACACAGGACATGTGAGCCAGCTCTTCACGCAACATCTTGGGTGTATTCTTTTCGGAGCCGATCAAAATTCACCACGGGCACTCGCTACTCATCTCCAACTCCTCAATGTACAAAACAACTCATCTTGGAGTACAGAACGACGAGTGGAACATACATAACTGCAAAAGAATCCCACGGCGAACAGTTCCCGTACGCCGCATGTCGTCTGCTACCGGGAAGGAGAAAAAAAAACAAAAAAACACACGGTCGGGTGTAGCCACGTGACTTCCGCCACTCACTCTCTTCTCTCCACTTCTCCGACCTCCGTCGGGTTTCGGTTTCGGTTTCGAGCAGTTGCGTCTTTTGGCTTTATTAAAAAAATACGCTACTCTGTTGCAAAATATTAATTGGGTAGTCCTCCGACACCATAATAAAGCCCCTGGCAAAAATTTGAAAAAAAATTTTGGGGGGTGTCAGTGTCCCTTTAAGCACAGCTCAGTAAGTGGGCCAGGTGGTGACATAGAGCGCTGACTAATGAAAACTGAGGCACCCTTGGCAGCTTGGAAACTTCCGGTCAACCCTGCGGCACCCACCTATCGTGTCCGACACAGACTGCCGGTGCTCCGCCTCCGTCTCTTCCATCTGCGCCGAGAAAGAGTGCGCCGCCTGCTTCATCTCGCTCAGCAGCTTCTCCTCCTTGTCCACAATGGCCGCCTCCAAGTCCAGCACCCGCTGCCGGGCCTCCTCATTGGCCGCCTCCAGCCGCCGCACGCGGGCATCGGCCTCTTCGCTGGCCGCCTCCAGGGAGCGCTCCCTGTCGACCAGTCGGAGACGGTCCTCCTCGACTTCGGCCATCTTGCGAAGCGTCTCCTGCAGCTGGACGGAGACCGTGGAGGCTCTCTGCTCGGCCACCAAGAGGCTTTCGTCCAGCTGCGTTGTACGAATGTGGAGCTCCTCCTTGAGCTGTTCCTGCGAGGAGATCCGTGACGTTCGATTGGTGATCGTACCTTGGCAAGGTCTCGGATCGTCGCTCTATCTACTGCAAGCTGCGAAAATGACTGAAAGACAATGTTCAAAGTTTCGCGGAATGAGAGCGTCGCTGCTCTCACCACAATGCCGGAGGTTTGTGATACAGAAAAAGTTCCTTCTGCATCAAGGCCCGTTCCCACACTTGCGTCTGCTTACGACCGGGTTCTTGCGATCTCTCGCGACGAGAAAACACACGCTGGTGCTACCTATGAGGTGACCCTGGAGCTAAACTTCACTAGAACGAAGGTTTTGTGGTATTTGCGAGACCATACGTTGCTACATGCTTTCTATGAGAAAAGGTCATTTATAACATTATTTTTTTCTGTTCCTCAAGCCAAAGAAGAATGATGTGCAAAAAAAAAAAAAGGACATATATACCGAAATGTCAAGCATTTAATGGTTACCCAACAGATGGCACAAGTGTGTTTTCTCGTCGTAAGCAATTTTAGGAGGTTTTAAGGCACATGGTCGTAAACAGTCAAAAGTGTGTAAAGCAGCCTTTGGAGTACAGGGTGTTTCACGAAAGGTGGACAAATTCGATATTGCGAAAGCTATGCATCGCATCAAAAAAAGGCTCGAGTTGTTTTGGTCCAAGGCCAGGGGCCTACTTAAAATTTTTTTTTAAGTTTGGGATAATTAAGATGTTAATTATTATTGCATAATTATTTTTTAAATATTGAGTTTAAGGGCATGGTTTCATTTGAAAACTTGCTGAGCATCATGGAAAAACATTAATAAAAAATTGGAGTGCATTAGAAGGCATGCACTACAGTTTACAGCTTTCTGAAAAACCGCACAACTTTGATGGGTTTTTAAGTTTCGGTTTGCAGTCGGAGCACTTCTCAGCACCAACGGCACCGCGCTTCGTGCAGAAATAGTGCAACCTGCGACTGCTGCGTTGTGCGAGGACAGCAAAACAGATGTTGCTTGCACTCTTTCTCCATGGGGCGCAATACCGTCAATGCCGAGAAGCGCTCCGATTGCAAACTGAAACTTAAAAACCTGTCGAAGTTGTGCGGTTTTTCAGACAGCTGTAAAATTCAGCGCATGCCTTCTACCGCACACCAATTTTTCATTTAGTGTTTTTCGATGATGCTCAGCAAGTTTCCAAATGAAACCATGCCCTTAAACTCAATATTTAAAAAATTAATTACGGAAAAAATATTTAACAACTTAATTATCCCCAACTTTAATAATTTTCCTAAGTAAGCCCCTGGCCTAGGACCAAAACGACCCAAGTCTTTTTTTGGTTCGATGCATAGTTTTCACACTATTGAATTGGTCCACCTTTCGTGAAACACCCTGTATACTCTTCTACCAACACCTCACTTTCGCCATTTAAAAGAACTAAAGTTGTTCCAGTCTGTGCGATGAAGCAGGGGTCGAGAATTCATAACAATATTCTTCTGCCAACATCTTACTTCAGCTGTATAAAAAAACTAAATTTGTCTGTTCGAGAATGTGTGATCATGCAAGCAGAGCTCGAAAGCCATTAAAAAATAAAATAAAAAAAAATCATACGAGAAGCATTTCACCGAACGAGATTCGCATACTTCAAGAAATTAGGCTGCTAATTGTATAGCACATCACTATAAACGCTGGCTCATCCAGCAATGAGTACTGTCTTAAAAAAATTGCAAAGGACCACAAAAAGTGTGCTGCGATTGATGACGGTAGCTGCTGTATTGTGGAAAGGAATGTTGAAGGAGATTTTCCTTCAGCTAATGTGCTGTACAGATTTGCCTACAGCCAGTGTGCTGTTTGCAATAGGCTGTTGCTTTCAGTGGAATTGATGTAGGAGACCTGTGTGAGGAGATGTGTGCTTTGTTGGAACGATTGTGTGAGATGGTTGCAAGTGTTAAAAGTAGACACAGAGATGTGCTTTTTTCTCTTATTTTTTTTGGGAGGGCTGAAAATCTTTTTTTAAAATGAGGGTGCTCTTGATCGCACCTGCGGTGGAAGTACGCGAGCTGTTCTGTAGAGGCGCACAGAGCACATGAGAATGGAACCTGGGTGGCGGCAATGGGGAGGCAAGGAAGCATGTCTGCACATCGCGACCAGATGGGTATTTCGCAATGGCTGCTGCTGGAGGGGTCGGGCGGGGGGGGGGGGGGGGTCGAGAGGGGGGCAACGGAGGGCATCGCTGGGGGATACGTGGTTTTAGCAGGAACGATGGCGAAGTGGAGAGCGCTCTCCCCGTGATCACATGGGTTTCTCGGAACAGTAGCGGCCTACTGGGTGGAAGGGTGGAGCGAGAGAGAGCCTTGCTGCATGCAGTTGGTGTGTATGTGTGAAAAATGACGGGGAGGGCATGCCTCTGCTGAAGAATGGAGTTTTGTGCTCGCACATGAGCATTTCCTACCAGAAAGTGGCACTAACAGCTACCACTGTAAAATTCACAATAACCTGCAGGTGCAAAGTATTAGCCATTCCTTTTCTCCCACTAGTAGAGCTTAAGGCTATTAATTGTGTGAGCGTGTTGCTTTAAATTGCATCTCAGCTGCTCAAGCAAGAAAACCTGACACCCACAAATGCACGCTTGTATTCCCAGCAAATATGGGCTACCCATCCTGGGGTCATGCCACGAAGAGCCCATTTCAGCAATGCAAGATGCATCATGTACACTCTAAATGAAGCTGAAACTGTACCGGCACGAATTAGTAAAACAAAGAAACTCTACAGCTACTTACAATTTCTGAGGCATAGCCTTGTCGCTGCAAAGCCCACTCACTCTGCAGAGCAGTTGCCTTGTCTTCAAACGCGCGTGCCATCTCGGCTAATTGTTGCTCCGTCCCTGCATTAGTCTCCGACTGGAACCCAGACAAAGAAGAATGCTTCCTTAGCAAGTCGGTGCTGCCAACCGTGAAACTATGTCTCCTGCTCGCTGCCCAAAATGTCCCTAAATGTCTATAACCTCTTGTTTTGGGTTGTCCAGCAGTTGTGCAAACCTGATATTATGCAAATATGCTAGTCATATGCAAATACGACAGCTGGCAGACTGACTTAAGAGAGTATACTTAGAATCAACCAAATCGGTTAAGCTCTTATTTATGGTCTGATTGTATTTCTGAGAGGTTTGTGCGGTGAACCTGGGTTATTTGGACCAATAAAAAACCCTAGAATGTCCAATAGTTCAAAGTTAATAATAATTATAATAATAAAATAAAAATTATATGGGCTGATCATGCTGACAAAGACCAGGGGTCACCGAATGTTCTGCATAAACCACACTCTGTGTGGTACTTGCTAGCTAGATTTTGCATTATTTTTATTATATAATTTTTAATTTTGTTCTTTTTATTGGGCATTTTTTTAGTTAGCTTTTTATTATTTCTGTGCATCTATTAGTTTTTATTTCTGTTATATTTTTAATTTATTATTTCTACTTAAATTTTGCTACTTTTGCCGGCACGTTTGCATTCAAACGAAATCATTTACCCTTCCAGACCAGCTCTACTAGTAGCTCAATGGCTGTGATATCCAACTGCCACAGCACCGACCCAGGTTCGAACCCCGCCAGGGCTCGAATTTATACATAAACTTTATATATTCCTTTAACGTCTATAATGCTCCCAGCATGATGCTCGTTCATGACACTCTATCGTAACAATTTTCTCATAGAAAACAACTTATAAAACACATCTTTTGTTAATACATAATAATAATCATTAAACGAGGATTATTAAAAATACATACTAGCATACATAATTTTGATCACGCCCGCAAAAGCACAGTTCTGTACATATATGTTTGAAAAGATGACCCTGAAAATGCCTAGAAATAGGCACATGCTCTTACACTGGGCACCACTAAAGCAAAAGCACTGTGAGGCAACTACTATAGCATGTGAACTCACAAGTTGAGTCAGGTAGCTGCTCTCAAGGTTCTGTATCCTCTCTTGCAAGGAATCGACTTGCACCTTGTGATCACTTTGTAATGTCGACAGTGCCTCCTTCGTCGAAAGGATCTGAAAAAGAAATGGATCATATTCCAAATGCGGCAAGGTATATTATACTTGGGATCTCTGGTTTATGATGCTATCATTTATATTCAAATATTAAAGTAGAACTTTGTGTTAAGTTCAGATGGTTAGAACCACTAGACGGCGTCCCCTCAGCACCAGAATATAAATGTAGGGCAGCTGAAAACATGTTACACATTCATGTATCCCGACGTCACCTGTAGGACTAAGATACATAGACCTCAATTTTGGGGGGGCGAGCTTTTGCTCAGAGCGATAAAACGACCTTACGAACAACCTCAACTAAGAACCGTTTTATAAAACAGTGTGCTACAAAGGAAGCAGGAGGTCGAGATGTCTAATCAGCCAACAGATCTGATAACGACAGTCCCAAACCAATATAAACAATTATGGGACTTCGTGACAACGAGCCAAGAAACGACAAGCAGCACTCACTTCTTCCATCTTCATCGCAAGTTCCTCTCGCAGCTGCTTCACCTCCGCCTCCAGACGCTCTCGCTCCTCCCTCCTCGCGTCCTCTTCCTCCTTCCTCCTCGTCTCGAGACCCGCCTCGTCCTGGGACAGCCGACTCCTCAGCTCTTCCAGCAGCGCTTCGGCAGCCCCCTTCTCCTTCAGCACTCCGCCGTGCAGAGCTTCGAGGTCGCCCAGTGCCCGCTGAAACGTCTCCCTTTCCTTGAACATCTCGACAAGCTGCTCTTCCTGCGTCACTTGCATTGCCCGTAGCTGGTCGCGTGCCGCGCTGTACTCCACCGCCAGACTGTCGCGCTCCTCCTCTGCGGCGGACAGCAGACGCTTCAGCTCATTCAGCGTTGCCGTCGCGGTGTGCAGTTCTTTCTCCAAGGACTCGTTACGCTGATTCAAATTGCGTTCGCTGCCGGCGAGAGATTCGACGCTCGACTCCAGCGCCTCCCGCTCGCTCTGCGCCATCTCCAGCTCGTTCCTCAGCTCCGCCAGGTACTCTTTCTGGACCCTGCTCGTCGAGGACAGTTCCTGGAACTCCATCTGGAGCAGCGCGTGGTTGCTGTACAGGTTGTCCCGGACCTGCTCCGCGGCGCACTTGTCGCCTTCCAGCGCAGCCAGCCTGTCTTCTAGTTCCTTCTTTTCCTGCCTCAGCGTCTCGACTTCGCCCCTGATCGAATTTTCGAGCTCCTCCCTCTCCTTCAACACGGCCTCGCGGCTGCCTTTCAAGGTCTGAGCTTGTTCGGAGAGCACAAGCTGTTCCGCCCGAAGCGTTCGTAGCTCCACGTCGAGCTGCTCTGCGCGTTGTTCTGATTCTGCTAACGAATCCTCCTTTGTCTTTAGCTTTGACGATAACTGATTCAACTGCTCCGTGATGGAGCGATGCTGCTCGAGAACCGAAGAGTTCTGCTCTTCCAGCTCGGTTATTCGTGCACCGAGTCGTTCTGCCTTAGCTTCCTCGGCGCTCAACGCCTTCTGGCTCTCCTCGGCTCGTGTTGCGGTGTCGGCTAATAATTGGTCTTTGGTCTTCAGCTGTGACGAAAGGTCGTCAGAGTGTTTCAAAAGGGAGCTGAGCTGCGCTTCAATCAAACTTTTATGAGCCTCCAGCTCGGCCACCCGGGTGTTGAGAAGTTCGACGTTCTTTGCTTCGGTGTTCAGCGCTTTCCGACTCCTATCAACTTCGTTCTCTGCCTCCGCCAATAGTTCTCCTTGCTCTTTCAGCCGGGATGAAAGCTGGCGGCACTCTTCCGTTGCGGAAGCATGCTTCTCCAGGAGCGAGTTGCCTTCAGTTTCTAGTTCAGATATGCGGAGGTGTAACCGCTGCGATCCTTCTGTTTCAGCGTGAAGCGTTTCTTCTCTCCTGTCAGCCTCTTCCTTCAATTCCTCGATCTGCTTCTCTAATCTGCTCTTCTCCTTCTCAAGAATGTCCCTAAGGTCTTGAAGCTCTTTTTGGTGCCTCTCCGCTACATCCTGCGAATCTGTAGTCGTAGCCCTCATAGAATAAATCTCCTTTTCGAGATCTTGGCTCTTTTTCTTGGCTTCCCTGAGCTGCTCGCTCAGCTGCGAAAGGCTGCTGTTATGGTTGGTTCTCTCGGCCTCAAATTCGGCTTCTTTCTGTTCCAGCAGTAATCTGGTTTCGCTGAGATCTATCTGAAGAGCTCGGCACTGCTCGGAAATTTTGACCTTTTCTTGATCTGCCTTCTCTTGGAGGGATGCAAGATGAGAAGATAACTGGGCTTCTTTTTGTTGTACCTCCTGTAGCTTGCACATGGTGGCTTCCATCTCTTCCCTATGGCAGTTAACAAGCTTTGCATTGTCTTCACCCTTTTGCATGGTTTCCTGCATCGAAACCCGAACAAGAAAACACTTCTGGTTTTGCACTCTAAAAACCACTTCATAGGTGCAATTTCAATGATTCAGCTCAGTTGAAACAATAATATAGGTACTTTAACAATTGGCAGAAGAAATTTTATCCTGTGTCATATTAAGTTAAAGATATAATCAAGAATTGCAGGACCCCATCGCTCCCCAGAAGACCACCTCTAAAAGGCAGATTCAGATAATGTGACAAATGAATGCAACTACAGTCAAGGTACGAGGAGTTCCACTTCGCTGACATATCGGTGAAGTGATCGAAGCAATTGAAGCACTTCCACAAAAGTGGCTTGAAATCGAAACCAGCATTCGCAACTGAGCACAGCTGGTCCTTTTTTAGAAATGCGAGTTTGACAAATGTGATAGAAAAAAAAACAAAAAAACACAACACAAACAAGAGAGAGGACAAGCACGGGCAGTATTCACAGTTGTATTTGAAAATAAGAGTGAAATGTGATAGCGTTATCGGGAACCATTCGCATCGCCTTCTCATTCGCTTCCCATGCTCTTCCTGCCAGTGAGCAGGAAGTGCGGCGGACATGGCCTAGTCAATAGTGTGTCTCGCTCGCAACTGAAGGGTCGTGGGTCCGAATTCTACCTAAAATTCTTCAAATTTTCCTTTAATTAAGGCAAATACATTACAAAGTGAAATCATTTGAGACATGAGGTGACCTTTAATTCACATTACATGTCACGTTTTTTCATCACTTCCATTGCACGCGTGACGTCACATTTCATGTAAACGTTGTGGGTTGTTTGAAATTCCCGCGCGAGGTCATGTGGCTGTGACGTCATGACCCTAACGACAGATCAGGATTTTCCCGTCATGACGCTACCGACGCCAGCTTTTCTGCGATACGAGCTCCTTAACGCTATCACGTTAAAAGAAGATAGAAGTACATATATATACCTATATATTGATACACCTGTCATCACCTAGGCTACACATGCGCCAGGATACAAGCCCTTCAACCTGTTTCCAAAAACTTATAAAAAACAAAACAATGTATCTCGGCATTATACAATGCAATCGACTTGTCACTGACGCATTGGTGCACCCCCTTCCTGATAAAGCATGCTTCTTGCGGTTCACGTGCTCTTCGATTCTTACTCCTACCTCTAGTTGGTGACAGGTCAAGAACAAAGTGGAAGCTCCTCCCACCCCTTTCCACTTCAGCGGAGTGAACAGTGGAAAACCCCTTTCCGCAAATGCGGGAAAGGAGGTCGCCTCCTCTCCCGCATTTGCTTTACTAATGTGGAAAGAAGTGGGAGGAACTTCCACTTCGTTCTCCACCTGTCACCGACTATAGAACCTTAGTGCCACCGAAGCATGGCTCACATTTGCAGGCCCTACAGTGCATGGGCAAATGCGCCCTATTATTTGTCTTTAAATTTTGTGCATGATCGTGTACCCCAGTGTGTGTCCCAGCACATGCGTTGCCTAGGTAACGATAGGTGTACCAATATATATATGTATACTTCTATCTTATTTTTTTCATATTCAGTTGAGAGTAGCGCCCGTATTTGTCTTCTCTCTTTGTGTTTGTCTTTTTAGTGCTTTTAAACATAGTTAAAACAACATGAAATGATGGATATGAATAATGGCAGTGCGAAGTTAACGTTCGAGGAAATTAACCCCCGAACATGTTTTATCAAAATCGGAGAAAACCGAAAAACTTCAAACAGAAGCTTTCCTGCACTAAAAAAAAAAAACTCGAGCATCGCGAGAAAAAGTTTTCAACTCCAATTTCATTTTGTTTTACCTTGAACTGTTCATGAGGCTACCTTTTGTTTCCGAAAACCAGACCCGGCCCTTATCTCGTTTTCTTCTTTTATTAGTATTGGACCGGGATATTTTTAAAATATTCAGGCCACGCAGATTTTCTCTGAAGGTCGGAGGATGCTACGCCCGCATCCTGTTTCTTTAACACAAGGCTCCCATAAGCACCAATTTGTAGTACGTCAGAAATTGACGCGAAAAACACACAATCTGGGGAAAAATAAACCCCAAAAAGCACCCTGAATTCGAAAAAAAACAACAAAAAACCCAAAAATACTGAAGCCTCTACTTATAAGTCGTGCTGTGGTGCAAAGTGCTAGCTCACCTGGAGGGCCTTCTCTAACTTTGTTTGCAAGTCCTTTATGACCGGCGTCAGCGTCTCCTCGGTGTGCTTCGCTGCATCGCTCACTTCCTTCGCGTGCCTCTCAGCAGCTGCAACGAGGAGCTGCTGCGATTCTTCTTCCAACTTCCTCCGCAAATCCTGGATGGCTTCGGCGTGAGATGCTGCTAAACTTTCGAGTTGTTGTCGCAGTACGGCCACCTCGTTGCTTTGTTCCGACTTGCTCTGCGACAAAACGAGGATGGATGCTTTGACAAACAACTACGGTAGTGCAGCTATTACAAACATAATGCTCTTTTATGCATTTAACACCATCTGAACTCATCAAACATCCTGCTGAAACTCAAAGATAATGAGAAATTATAGATAGACAAATACAGTGTTAACGCGGACGCTAATTCCAGTCTCAGTCTTCCAGCCATGCTACGTACACCATGTCAGTATTGCCACATCTTCTTTATCTAATGTTACTTTTTTTCTCGTTGTTTTTGAAGCTTTTGCAGCTGGTTCTTTTGCTTTGCTGTTGTCTTCTTTTTCTTTCACAATTGTGTTGTATGGCTGGCAGAGCTTGCAGTGCAGATGATTGGCAGCCACCCAACTGGGTCAACACTCTTCAACAGTGGCATGCTTCCTTTTTCGAGGCTAAATCAAAGTTAGTTTCAGTAAGAATGCAATTCTACCTTAATATTTGCATTGTGATGGTATGGGAAAACGTTCCCAACCCTGCATCTTGATTTTGTCTCTATGGCACATCTCTTTACCTTCCCCTGTACTCACTCTTTTTGCCTGCTGCTAGAACTTACGCTCAGTTTTTATTCTTTTTTCTTGAAAGTGGGACAAGTGCTCCTGCTTACACAATTGCAAGGGCGACATATACTGACAGGGTTTGATACAGATGAAACTTTTTGGACGTTGGATATAGATAAGGATTTCCTGTACTCGACTTTGATATAAACGGGCTCGACTGTACCCGCAGTTCAGATAAGAGATTTTCATTGGAGGCCTAAACCAAAATATTCAAATGGCATTTGATAAAATCCAATGAGGCTTTTCTTAACTTTAAGGAGAGTTTGCATCAGTAACGAGTTTGGGTTTCCGACCCCCACCCACCCGAGTTACTTCGTCTGCCTCCGCCCGCACTGCGCTCAGCTCTGCTTGGTGCTGGGAGATCAGTTCCCGCGTCTTGAGTTCCCACTCCTGGACGGTCCTCTCCACGGCTGCTTCCACTTCTCCCTGCAGCCTGGTTCTGGCGTCCTCAAGCTCTTCCTTGAGTTCCTTCACGGTCTGCTCCAGCTTCACTTTCACCTGCAAGATCCGATTGGCAACGACCTTGGTGCGAGAGACTGCGGATTTGCTAAAACCATTCGACTACGTCTGAAATGTGCCCCGTACCGCCCGTTCATCTGAGTGTCCCTTAAAAGGCAGCGACAACGTTAGTCACAGGCGACGCCTTGCGATGCTACGAACTGTGGCGATCCAGGCGGTCGGCCGTAGATATTATGCAACCAAAAGATAAACAATATGGACCTACCCTTCTCTCCTTGAGGGTAATCGCACATCTGAAAGTTCCTGCCTAAGTGCAAAAACGCACACACCCCGGGAGGTGCTGCCATCCGTTATGCCTTTCGGAAACTATGGCTGTTGTATTCGCACTGTGTATAGCCTGCGTCGAGGCAGTTTTCAACTGCCTCGACGAGGCAGTTCAAAAACTAGACGCTCCGAGAACATAGCGCGTGCGAGGCAGTTGCTTCCATGTTGGCTGCTCTAGTGGCAGTGGCCGTCAAGAGTGGTGGACCTACCCGAGAAACGGAATGACCAACTGATCAAGGGGAACCGGGACTTCGTCTCCCATTCACTGGAATGTTGCTACTGCTACGAATGAGCGCCTTCAGGCATTGCGACCGTCGTCTGGGTCTGCGTCTATTTTTACGAGACGCACGATGACGCTCCAACGGGAGTAACTCCGCCGTTGGACAGACATGATGGGCTGGACGGCTGGTTAAGCCAGGAGGCAATGATAACACCAGAACGGTAACAATGAGAACCGTGTCCTCCTATGCGGCATGCACGGGCCTCAGTCACAGCTTCTAACACTTCGTCAATCAGATGGCACCACCACGGGCCCTATTGGGCCCGTGGATTTTGAGAAATTTGAGTAAAGATGCAGGCGAACTGGTGACAAATCATAGTAGAAAGACCCAGAGACAGGGAGCTAAAAAAAGTGAAAGCCGTTTACAATTCCCTGTAATGCCGAATTAGAGCGCAGCTCTTGAGGAGGAAGAGGGAAGGGTACTGGGGGGGGTCACGTGACGATGACGATGCCGACGACGTCATCAGTAACGATGACGATGCGGATACCGATGACGTCATCAGTGACGTCACTGATAACGTCATCAGTGATGATGACTATGACGATGCGGATGCTGGTGACGTCATCAGTGATGACGATGATGATGCGAATGCCGGTGACGTCATCAGTGACGTCACTAATGACGCCATCAGTGATGATGGCGTCATCGCATCGTCATCGTCATCAGTGATAATGACGATGATGATGCGGATGCCGGTGACGTCATCAGCGACGCCACTAATGATGTCATCGGGGGGGTCACGTGACTTGGGGGTCACATGACCATGGGGAGTCACGTGACCTTAGGGTGACCTTGGTTACGCCAACATCGACGCTGCTCAAGCCAGGAACGGGCCCCTAAGAGCTCCGCTCTAAAAAGTGAAAGCCGTTTACAACTCCCTGTAACGCCGAATTAGAGCGCAGCTCTTGAGGAGGAGGAGGGAAGGGTACTGGGGGGGTGGGGTCAACTGACCGGAGGGGGGGCCACGTGACCTTCGGTGGGGGTCACGTGACGATGACAATGCCGATGATGTCATCAGTGACGTCACTGATGACGTTGGTGACGGCATCAGTGACGTCATCAGTGATGATGACGATGCGGATGCCGGTGACGACATCAGTGACGTCACTGATGACGTCATCAGTGATGATGACGATGACGATGCAGATGTCGGTGACATCATCAGTGATGATGACGATGACGATGCAGATGCCGGTGACGTCACTGATGACGTTATCAGTGATGATGACGATGACAATGCGGATGCCAATGACGTCATCAGTGACGATGACAACATCAGTGATGATGACGATGACGATGCGGATGCCGGTGACGTCATCAGTGACGATGACGTCATCGGGGGGGTCACGTGACCTCGGCGAGGGGGGGGGGCCAGGTGACCTCAGGGGAGTCACGTGACTTCGGGGGGTCACGTGACCTTGGGGGGTCACATGACCTTGGGGGGTCACACGACCTGGGGGTCACGTGACCTTGGGGTGACGGCGACGCCGCTCAAGCCGGAAGCGGGCGCCTAAGAGCTGCGCTCTAAAAAGACAAGAATCTGAGACGGTGTTGTTCATGTCCTTTTTAGCTCCTTGTCTCCGGGTCTTTCTACAATGGTGGATTTTGAGTTTGAAGCGAGCAATGGTTCTGGCAGAATATTTTCAAATCGAATACCGAATAGTTTCTTAAAGTTTTTCACTACCGTGCACCATGCTTAAACGAAAGTTCAGATGAACTCGCGATGGTTGTTCTCAATTTTCCACTTGTCCACTTTGTGGGAGCCACTGGTTTCCCTCCCCCGAGAAGGCGTAAGCCGAGGCCGTTCCGGGCGAAGCCGTCTGACTTCGAGCCCGGTCACTCCGTATTGTGTCGGAGAGACCATGTCACCATGCTGACCTACTCTCTCGCACTCCTCCGCGCGTCTCCCCGAGTTTGGGGGAACAGCGACATTGCGCGAAGGAGAGTCGGGCGTGCCCTCTGAGTGAACGGCCGTGTGGTCGAGGAGTCCTGAATTGGACTCCGGGCAACGGGTCGAGTCGCGGCGCGAGCTCGTCCGACCGGCGATGACTCCACGCTAGCGATTCCCCGGGCTCTGACAGTCGGCGTTTCCACAACCTGTGGTCGTCCGTCTGCCGAGAGCCCTGGCCCCGAACTCCTGCGACGACAGGTAGCGGCGTGAGCTCGCCCGACCGGCGATGACTCCGCTCGCAATTACCCCTTTGGCTCTCAGGTCAGCGGGCGATGCGGACACACAGTGTCTGCGGCTCGCTTGACCGCAGCGTTTATTGAGCACCCCTGGTGCTCAATAAATGCTGCTGGATGCCGGGATCATCGTTGTTGGCATGGCATTGGTCGAAGAGAGTGGGCATGTGGAACAGCCAGTCATGCAGTCAGCTAACGCTTTCTGCTTTTTCTTCGTACAGTTCACGGCGATGTTTCGCGGCTGTCCGGCCCTATCAAGCCCGTGGTATGCCGTGGAGGGAGCGCGCTTGCCGCAAGTTTCCGTGCTGCCACAACCAGACATCTACTCCTCCCGGCAACCTTGGGTTTCTGCTGCACTCCCAATCGTCGCATCGCCTCAGCACAGCAGTCCAACGGCATTGACATTGACATCGTCACTGGATTTAAACTGCCGGCACGCCCCTCGGCCCTTCAGTGGGCATGTGGAACAGCCAGTCATGCATTCAGCTAACGATTTCTGCTTTTTCTTCGTACAGTTCACGGCGATATTTCGCGGCTGTCCGGCCCTATCAAGCCCGTGGTATGCCGTGGAGGGAGCGCGCTTGCCGCAAGTTTCCGTGCTGCCACAACCAGACATCTACTCCTCCCGGCAACCTTGGGTTTCTGCTGCACTCCCAATCGTCGCATCGCCTCAGCACAGCAGTCCAACGGCATTGACATTGACATCGTCACTGGATTTAAACTGCCGGCACGCCCCTCGGCCCTTCAGTGGGCATGTGGAACAGCCAGTCATGCATTCAGCTAACGATTTCTGCTTTTTCTTCGTACAGTTCACGGCGATGTTTCGCGGCTGTCCGGCCCTATCAAGCCCGTGGTATGCCGTGGAGGGAGCGCGCTTGCCGCAAGTTTCCGTGCTGCCACAACCAGACATCTACTTCTCCCGGCAACCTCGGGTTTCTGCTGCACTCCCAATCGTCGCGTCGCCTCAGCACAGCAGTCCAACGGCATCGACATTGACATCGTCACTGGATTTAAACTGCCGGCACGCCCCTCGGCCCTTCAGTGGGCATGTGGAACAGCCAATCATGCAGTCAGCTAACGCTTTCTGCTTTTTCTTCGTACAGGTTGGTCCGTAAAAAGTCCAACAACCTCTGTCTACTGGTGTTCCCATGCCCACAAGTGCTGTTTTTATGTTCTTGCGAATGTATTTCGGGTCTGAAGCTTCTCCTGTCTGGTGATATTGAACTTAATCCTGGCCCAGATAAGAAAGAAGTTCAGACAAAAGAAATGAGTGAGATGCTTGTTTTACTGAGAGGCTTAAACGCTCGTCAGGCAAATTTTGAAGCTGGACAGAACCGAATCATGGAGGATATTCAAGCTATCAAGACTGGGCAAGAGTCAATTGAATTAATGGTAACCGATATTCAAGGGAGGTTTAGTACTGTGGAAGCAAAGATAGCCAGTCTGTAGATAGTAGTTAGACATTCTGGAGCGTGCGTTGACAGATGTAAAAGAAACTGTAACCTTCCTGTCACGCGAGAACGCCAGTCTGCGATCACGTCTTGATGAATTTGAGGACAGGTCTTGAAGAGATAATCTAATATTTTACGGTGTTCCCGACTCAAACTCTGAGACCTGGGCTGTATCTGGAAGCAAAGTGCGTGACGTCATTGCAAACGAAATGAAGATCATCGTTCCCCCTGAGGGTATCATCCGTGCACATAGGCTCGGTCGTGTTTTTAACCCCAGTAAATGTCGGCCAGTTTTAGTGAAATTCTCTTTATTCAAAACGAAAGACCATGTTTTTTCCTCCAGGGGCAAACTGCGCAGTAGTGCCACTTCCGTCGCAGAGGATTTTTCCCCTGCCACTCGTCTTGCTAGAAGAAAGCTGCTCGAATTTGCTAAGGCTCATACACAGTCTTTTAGTCTACGCTGTAACAAAGTGTTTTTTGATGACAAATGTTTTTCTTACTGCGCGGCCAGCGATGCCGTTTGTGAGGTCCGCGATTTCATCACGCCGAGCACGAGTTCCATTCGTGTTAATACTGCCCTGTGGTTGATTTGTCAACGTCATCACAATAACATAATCTGATACGGAACAATCCTAGTCCTTATCTTTCAGTGCTTTTCACCAACATTCAAAGTGTTCTTCGCAATCGTGATGACTTGTCTTCAGCCATCGATTCTTCACTCGCCGGCATCGTTGTACTCACTGAAACATGGCTATCTAGTGTTGTACGTGACAGCGAAATTTTTTGTTGCGAGAAGCGTTTCTCTTTTTATCGATGTGATAGGCTATCTAGGCGTGGTGGTGGTGTCATAATCGCGGTAAATGATAGCATTGAGTCTTGTCTTATCAACATTAATACATCTCTTCAGTTTATTGGCGTGCGCTTGCGTTTTAGCCATAAACAGGTTATTTTGTGCGCGTGCTACCGTCCTCCCAATGCCACAGCAAACTTTTTTATAGGTTTACACGATGCTCTGAATACAATTCGTACAAGGTTTCCTGCCTTGCCTTTGTTTCTTTCGGGCGATTTTAATCTCCCCGGCATTGACTGGTCTGGTCTGTATCCTACCATATCTTCAAATTCTGCTGCGTGTTCCGAGTCTTTAAGTCTCTGCTCCGATTTTTCGTTAACGCAGATAGTTACTGGGCCGACTCGTGTTACGGCAACTTCTGAGAACGTGCTGGACCTTATTCTTTCTACCGCGCCTGACCTTGCATCCTCTCTTACGTATTTACCTGCCATCAGCGATCACTGTTTACTTCACTTTCACCTAAGCGCTCCTGTATCTGCCTTCGCAAAAGCGAAGAATAACTCTTTTCTTGATTATGGCAAAGCTGATTTTGAGGGTATAAACCGCGAGTTAGCGCAATTTCTTGACTTTTTCCTATTCAATTTTTCCGAACGCTCTGTCGAAGTTAATTGGACAATGTTCAAAAATAAAGTCAATTCCCTTATCAATTCTTTCGTCCCACGTCGCTTTCTTACTAATGGCTCCACGTCCCCGTGGTTTAATAATGCCTTGAAAAGACTTTCAAATAAAAAGAAACGCCTGTTCCGCACTGCTAAGCGTGCAGACACTGTTGAGAGCTGGACGGTTTACTACAATGCAGAAAATTTATACAAAAATGCAGTTAAGGACGCTAAACAAACTTTCTTCAGCCAAACCTTGCCCCGTCTGTTATCAACTAGTGTCAAAATTTTTTGGAGTGTTATTAATGGCAAGAAAGACAAGGCTATTTTGCTTTATGACTCTGATGGCATTGTTATGTCTGACGATGACTCTGCGAAAATCCTCAATGAGATGTTTGTTCAATCGTTTTCTAGGGATGTAAGCTGTTCTATTGTTACTTACCCTAATCATGATTTCTTTCCTATGGACCCGCTTGTGTTTGATTTTGATGGCATTGTTAAGCTGACTGACAACCTCAAAGTGTCTTCATCATGTGGTATTGATAATATTAACACTAAGTTTCTAAAGCATACTAAAATTTACGGTGCAATTTTTCTTACAAAGATTTTTGAGCAATCTATTCTTACTGGTGTCCTTCCTGAAGATTGGAAAACTGGCAAGGTGGTTCCACTTCATAAATAAGGCGACAAACACTGCCCCGACAATTATAGACCCATTTCCATAACCAGTACTCCTTGTAAAATGTTAGAGCATATTATTTATTCACATCTTGTTAAATATCTCGAATCCAACTCTTTTTTCTCGTCCTCACAGCATGGCTTTCGTAAATTTTTCTTGCGAAACACAACTTCTCGTCTTTACTAACGATTTATTTTCATTACTTGATCATGGATCCCAGGTTGACTGTATTTTTCTTGATTTCTACAAAGCATTTGATAAAGTTTCTCACCAACTACTACTCTTCAAGCTTAGCAAACTCAACCTCGACCCTCAGATACTAACATGGATTTAGTGTTTTTTACAAATCGTTCTCAGTTTGTTCATGTAAATAACTCTAATTCTTCAGTGTCTTCTGTTACTTCTGGCGTCCCTCAAGGCTCCGTTCTCGGTCCCTTGTTATTCCTCATATACATCAATGACTTGCCGTTGTGTGTCTCATCATCGCTTAGTTTATTCGCGGATGACTGCATTATTTATCGTAAGATTACTAATGATTCTGACTCTCTCTTTCTTCAAAAAGACTTAAATGCTGTTCTTGATTGGTGCAAGCTGTGGTCCATGACACTTAATACTAAAAAATGTAAAACAATAAAAGTGTCTCGCCGTAACACTAAGCCTTTTATCTATCATCTTGATAACGTTTCTTTAGAATGTGTGACTTCATATAAATACCTCGGTGTGCATATTACTTCTAACCTCTCCTGGCATATTCATATTAACCACATCATTGCTAATGCCAATTCTATGTTAGGCTACCTAAAACGTAACTTTTCTCTAGCGCCATTTTCTCTCAAACTAATATTATTCAAATCTTTGGTTCGCTCAAAATTAGAGTATGCAGCTTCAATCTGGGATCCTGGTCAGACGACGCTCACTTCTCATCTCGAGTCAGTTCAGAACCGCGGCGCTTGTTTCATACTTAACAATTATCACCGTACAGCTAGTGTATCATCCATGAAATCTCTTCTCTCCTTGCCACTGCTTTCTTTGCGCTGTAAGTGTTCTTGTCTATGTCTTTTCTATAAAATATATAATTCTAACCCCATTCTCAAAGAAAAGCTTTTCCTCGTCCCACCTTAAGTTTCTCCACGCATTGATCATCAGTACAAAGTCGGCATTCCTCATTCTCGAACCTCAGCCTATCACGATTCTTTCATTCCTAGGACATCATCAGAGTGGAACCACCTTCCGGCGTCATTAATATTATTACCCTCGTTGGATGTGTTTAAAAGTGCTGTTACTAATTATTTTTGCGAAAGTGACCCGTGACCTATTCCATGTCTTCTATTACTCTCTGTTGTTGTTGTTTTTGTCACTCACTCCCCTCTGTAAAGCCCCCAGGGCCTTGAGGGTATGTAAATAAATAAATAAATAAATAAACCCGGCGCGGCGACCGCCCTCGCTGGTAGCTGTCGGCCGGATTTCCCTTTTGAGCATCGGACCGGTCCCCGGACGTAAAGGTGTGTAATCCTCCCTCCTTTTTTAATTCCCACAACTTCTAAGCTCAATTATTTTAATATAGCTATTTGAACTGCGGCATGTAAATGATAGATGTGTCGCAGCTATCTTAACCGAGGGGATTTATAAATCTAAAGTAGCTAACGTCAAGAGGTGGGCTAGTTGGTATTCGTTGATCATAATGTAGAAACGGCACAAAAACACAGATAGAGCAGGAGAAACACTCATACAGGACGAATGCTGACAGGACGAAACAGTGTTTGTCCTGTTTGCGTGTTTCTTTTCCTCTGTCCATGTCTTTGCGCTGTTTCTACATTCTGATTTATAAATGATGGACGTGGGCTGTCAAGACATCACTCCATGACATATATACTCTTGCAATCTAGGTGAGTTAGGCCTGTTGAGTGCGCTTCTCATCAAGCTCCTGCGTACTGGGGGGGAGTGGGTGCTGCTTCCCCGCAGTGCGCGGGTGTTTGGTAAGAAGCGCACTCAATGGGGCTAACCCGCCGCGATCACCATTTCAAAAAAGTATGAATATTGCAGGTCAACTCGAAGCGAATGCCGAATAGAGTATTATACAAAACTAGTATTCAAAATTTGAATATTTGCACAAAAATAGTAACCACCAACTGATGAAAAACTCGAGTAAAGTACTTCCAGTTCAGAGTTTGAAATAATTGGAATGTTGCCGAAGCGGACAAACAACATTTCACCCTCCATATTTCGTATTTCATTCTATATTTCCAATCTGGACAGCTTGCAAGCACTGTATGCGCTCCCGTTAAATAATTAAAAAAAAAACCAAGTGTGCATTGACTTTTTCTTTGTACCATCCCTTCGGAGAAAAAAAAAACTCACACCAAAAAAACAACCACTGGGGCACACTAAAAAAAACAAAGCTCTACCACGAAAGGATTAATTTTTTATCATCTTTTGTGTCTCTATGTGCCATTGCATGGACAGATTAAAACTAGGCAATGTCAACATTAGAGATTCAGCCAAGTGTAATAGCATAGATAGCGTGAGAAGGGCACGCACATTTTTGTACTGTTCGATGTCCGCGAGGAGGCTGTCCCTCTGGCTCTCCGGGGTTGCCGCCAGGTCCTCCGAGCTGTTCACCTGTTCCTCGGACTCCTCCGTGATGGAGTTGAGCTCCGACAGCTTCTTGGCCACCTTGCATAGTTCGTTCTCCTATTCTCCGCAGAAGGCCGAAGGGGGAAACGAAAGAAGTATAACGCTGCATTAAAATTGCAACCACCTTGTACAAAAAAAATCACGCAGGCACATAAAAAAAAAAAAAAAGGCTGGCTTTTAGGAATTTTTTAAAAGGCAATCTAAATGTATAAAATATAGCACACATTTGCTTGTATTCATCCGAAACAACAGTAAGTTCCATATATTACACGTCGCACCAAACAAATTGTCCGCATGAACTGGCGTTTGAACCACCAATCGGTCGCCGCGTATTGACTTTGTGTCGCAGCTGGGACCGGCACTCTCGTTTTGCGGCCGCAATTGTTGCGCCTCCCTTCACCACGCTGCGCCCGCCGTCGTTGCTTCTGGGCCACTTTGGCGGTACACAAAGCCCACAAGCAAGAGCCTTCATGGTATGTGTAGTCCAAGCACACACTGAACAAAGCCTCCGCCTAAAAGCCAGATCGCCGACTGCACGCCACACGCTCCTTCAGGGCTACACCCAACGGCCGGCCTTCAAAAGCCACATGTTCAAAAATGGCAACCATCGTGTCTGATCACAAATTGATCAACAGCCTGCACTCCACAAAGATGCCCCATGAGTCTATCTTTCGGTAGACCATACAATGGGCTTGTGACGACCGAACAGGAGTAGGAAGTGAAGGGATCACAGCAGTGACCGCAAAGCAAAGCGGTTTCATTAGGAGAAGGGAAGGGTGGAGCTTTCTTGTCAAGGGCAGACCCCGGTCGAATGACGGCGATTGACGGTTGATATCGGACGAGACACTTAGGAACAGTCCCACCTTCCTCTCCAAAAAGCACAAGATGACCCGGTGGAACCCCAGCAACATGAAACAAAACGCTTTACATGAATTTTACTTGCCGTCCACAGTTCGCGCTAATGCCCAGTGAAGTCACCCACCTTTTCCGAGATCCTGCGGTGGTATTCTTTTTCCGAAGCTTCCAACTTTTGGACCCAGTTGTGCTCGGCCGCCTGAATCTTCTTTTCACACTCTTGCTGAAAGAGGAGGAAACAAACGAGACGTCGCATTAATGTAATGAGGGGGCCCGAGAAGGGTGCTTGATTCTGGCTACATTTGCAGTTCCTGTCAAAGATTAGCAGTTCCTTTTTTTTTATTTCAGAGACGAAATGAAGCGACTGGCAGTATGTTTTTCTTTTTGATATTTTTGTGCTTCTTAACTGATATGTCTCCACTCCTCACTGAAGCCTCAGGAGGTCACAGTATCATTCAAATTTTTCTAATGTTTCTATTGTGCTTAGTCGCTTTCCATACGACACAAGCTTCACCCCCCCCCCCTTTCCCCAAAATGCAGCCAATGGTATAGTATACATATGGGTGATGGCCCCCTCACTCCTATTCCTCAAGTCATGCACGTCCTAGCCCCTCTGAAAACAATTCCTGGCTAGACAGCTGGACAGGACCCCACCTTCATGAGGCTGAGAGCGGCTGCCTTGCCACGGGAAAGTTCCTGAAGGGAGGTCTTGCGCTCCTCCTCAAGCGTCCTTTCCAGCGAAGTCAGCTGCTGCTCCAACGATGACCTCGACTCTTCGTGCTCGCGCTCCTTTTGGGCCAGGGCAGCTCTGCTCTCCTCCACTGGAATGCGGACCAGCCCCCACTCAAACCTGGAGCAGAGCTCCTACGACAGTTTTGGAATTTACACTGGGAATGCATTTTGTTAAAGATAGTCACTAACATTTGGCTCTTTAAAAGTTAAAAAGATATCACTATGCCTAATAAGTAGGATATAAGGAAAAATGGGAACCCTTGGGGAATTCCAAAGATTTAGAATTGTTTGTGGCACATATCAGAGCCCTAGTTTAGTTCTCGGATCTTTTACAAACAGTACCGGAACTTTTTGTCACAGATGGAACGAAAAAAGAGAGGGACACTGGATTGTGCCTTTGAACAATATGGCTACACTGAACATGAAACATTTTTTCAAGAACCTTTATCTCACTGTTACAAAGACTTCGCCAGCTAGTGTTTCCTAATTTGGCTTAAGCTTCACTCACTTCTGTTTTGTTATATTTTAAATATACAATGTTTTAGTAAAAACTTACCAATTACTAGTTCTTAAGAACATGGTTAGTTTCCCATTTAAAACTGTCCAAATACAACAAACATGGCACCCCACATGACCATTCTGAAAACTAATTGTATATTAAAAAATATAATTTCATTAAGCATCATTAAGTAATAATTAACAATAAACAAATAATTACAGTCAGAGCGAAATGTCACTGTATGATACTCTAATTACATATATTAAAGAACACACTTTGTGACTACACACATTTGTACAGCACTAGGGCACTGCAGCGCCTCAAATACACTTTCGTAACAAGTACAGTTTACTTTTCAATATAAAATAAATTGAAACACATTCGACACGAAGCTACAGTTTGTTTTCAAAAGGCACCGTACGAACCTGCCCAGAAAAAATACTTTTCCCTTTTTATGCGCTGTAACATTCCAGTGAAGTCAAACTCCAGACAGTGCCTTTGTGAGTCTCGACCCACTGCACTGCACCCCTGCCATGTGACAACTTCCCTCAATAAATATTCGAATAGTGATTAGAATATTCTCATATTCAATTTAACATTCAAATTCCTACATTAGTGGAGTTTGGCAATCTCGGACGTCCCTCAACATTTTGAAATACGCCCAATTCCCCATGTTTGGCTGCGCCGCACCCGGGACAGCCTTGCATTCTTTGTGGCTTGCCTCTATAACATCGTGAAAGTTATGGCTATACTATATTTTCCAGACTATGGTCTGTGGACTATACATATTTAGAAATTTTAAATTTTTTGTGGTGCAGACTATACGAGGATTTATTTATTTTTTTTTTCGAGATCAGTCATCATGACTGTACGTTATTGATGATTTCAGCATGATAAAAGCATTTTTGTGTGCTAATGAAGCGGGCAACTTTGAAGGTGTGCTGTGTAAAAGAACTCTTTTTTTTTGGGCTATGCACCAGGTATGGACTATATGCGGGCTACCTAAGGAAGAGGAACGACTGTGTCCGGCATTTCCCAAAGACGTTCAGAACACCCATTCTCACGTCCAGCTGAAAGCACAGCTTTGTCGCACACATTACATAGTGCACCTAATGGATTGTCCGTAATCTGGTGCTTCAACTGCCGATCGGCCGCCGTGTGATGGCAACTGGCTTCCTGTCATTCCTGAATCAAGTGCTCTGGTTTCGCAGCTACGTTCCTTGCTCCTCAGTCTTCACCTTGCTGCACCTGCTGTTGTGACTCTGGCACCGCTTTAGTGGCACACAAATCCCACAAGCAAGAGCCTTCATGGCATGTATAGTCCGCTTTGCTGTACCAAGTGAACATTGAGAAAATTTACAGCTCCAAGAGCAGTCGTCCGTTCCATGCGGAGCATGTAAATGGCAGCTGCACGCTCTAGTGAGGCAACCTTCTAGACTCGGACACAAAAGTGTTAAGAGCTAACCCAATAAAAACTATGCCCTTAAAAATTTTTTCTCTGCCTAAATTTGGTTTTGCAGGTAAGTGGTGCGGTACCCACTTTCGTCACAAACACGGCTGCATCTTCGAGCACAGAAGCAGTAAAAGACTCTCGGTGCCCTGCCGAGACAGCAGATGCGGGTTGCCGAAAATACCGCAGCTGCCAAAGATGTCCAGAAAATACAATACTTCCACCACTCCAGTGATTCTTGATGGCAACAAGTGCCAGTGCACTCACACTGTGTCCTGAGGGCTTCTGCGGCATCCTGCGTGGACTGCAGTGCCCCTTGAGCCTGTGCCAGAAGCGTCTCCTTGAGCTCGAGTTCTTCGTGCATGTTACGCTTGGTCTCCGCCATGGCCATGGCAGTTTCCTCCTGCCGCCTCTTGGACTCCTCCGCCTCTTCCCTCAGAGAGAGGAGCTCATTGCGCAGGCCAGCCTGCACCTCTGCCTCCTTCTCCTGGGAGACCACAGAGGTTTCAAAGAAAATGGGAAAGACCAGACTTGTTTCGGCAGAGTTCAGTATATTGTGTTTCTTTTAGCAGAGTTCAGTAAGACGCGACTGGTCCCTTTAGGTACGATTTCAGCAGGATGCGAGTGTTTCCTTTAGTAGAGTTCAATAGGATGTGAGTGTTACCTGCAGTGGAGTTCAGTGGGATGCAAGTATTCCTTTGAACAGAGTTCAGTAGGACGTGAGCATTCCTGTTAAATATGAGTCCAGTGCAATGTGAGTGTTCTCTGTAGAAATGAATTCAGCAGGATGCAAGGATTCCCTTTAATAGAGTTCAATAGGATGTGAGTGTTCCCGGCAGTGGAGTTCAGTGGGATATGAGGGTCCCCCTTAGCAGCATTCAGTGGGATGAATATTCCTTTGAACGGAGTTCAGTAGGATGTGAGCTGTTAAATATGAGTTCAGTGTGGTGTGAGTGTTCTCTTTAGATATGCAGTAAACTTTCGTTAATTCAACCTCGACGAGACCTTGAAATTTGGTTGAATTATCCGAATGATCAAATTAAAACAAGGACAGAAAAACTGGTAAAATTAAACTTCCTTTTATTGCCCAAAGTAATCACGGATGATCTGCTGCCGTCTGCACTTAAAACGAGTGTTCAAAAGGGTGCTCCAAAGAGCAGCGTCGCGTTCCCAAAAAATTGCGCACTACAAAAAGAAAAAGAAAAAAAAAGTAGAAAGTAAGTTTTATAAGCTCACTTTGGCACCGGGCAGCCAGACCATCGGCGACAGAGAAGAAAAAAAATGGAAAAGAGAACCCGCGCTTTCTGACACGCAAGATGGACCGCACACAATACTACAAAAAAGCGCTTTGAGAGAGCGCGCCTCACTGAGAAAGCTTTACAAGCCGACTTTCGCGCCAAGTGGCCAGACCGTGGCAAAAAAAGAAAAACAGAATTTGCGTTTTTCGCCGCGTAAGATGAACCGCACAAGATGCTACAGAAAAGCACTTTGAGAGTGCGCGCTGTGTCCGCACCCGACCACGTGCTATGTTCTCCGCACTACTCCACGCCTGATTGGTTGCGCTGGCTCGTGTCATTCGCTACAGCCCATCTCAACGGCATAGAGGAGCAGGCGTATATTTGCGCATGTTCGGCTTTGCAGCAAACGGCCCCTGTTTCGCCGTACGTTGATGGCTTTTCTGCCATGGGGCCGTGCAATGTCAGCCCATACGCGTTCGCTCGGTACAAATTATCCGATGCCGAGTCTTCCCAAGTTCGAACTATCAAACTTTTCCTCCCATAAAAATGTATGGGTGCTCGTTGGGACTTTTGAACATGATTGAATTAAACGAAAAGTCAAATTAACCGAGGTGAAACTAACGAAAGTGTACTGTAACAGGATATGAGTATTCCCTGCAGTGGAGTTGCAGAGAACGTGCCAAAGTTGAACCATCTTGCTGTAAGCAGTCATTAGGAGACATAATGTGGTTGGTCACACTCAAACGCAGCCATAAGTTGAATAAGGTGAAGCTAGGCTCTGTTCACATAGTATACCTGAACCTGCTGCAGCTCTGTGGTCCTCAGCTCCAGGGCTTTGGTGAGAGAGTCCTTCTCCTGGATGAGCTGCGTCGTCCTCTCCCGGTTGTTCTTGATGGTGTCCTTACACTTGGAGATCAGGGCCTCCAGACGCCTCACCTGCATCGGACAAGCCCAGCCCCACACTGACTCACAACTTGCTTGCTGGTAATATAGTCACAACTGCCAATGAGACCGTCGTCTCATTGGTTGATAGGTACCCCCAGAACCACTGTGGCGTTGCATGTTATATAGTTTCACCTATAAAACTACATGCCCAGATGAAAATCAGCCCACATGCAACTGGATTATGAAGTTAGACTATAGCTGGATCCAGCTGGGACCAGTTCCATATTCCAGCTGCAGGTCAATTGATTTGCACCTGGGCAGGAGTCTTTGCTACCTGGTGCCATGTACAAACAAACCAGGACAATGTGGTAGGTGTGGAGCAAGCTTCCTCACTGTGCCCTGGTTCCATCACCAACTAAACCACTGAGAAAATCTACTGTGCATTCTTCATTAGTCTCTGGCTTGCAGCTTTCTAATAAAAAGTCACCATGACGTTACAACCTCACATTTCAAAGGGTACAAAAGATGTCTTTGGAGGTATATTAAGTACCACTATATGGTACTCAGGTTCCATTAAGGATTCAAACCAGGCTCGTACAAGATACTCACTAAAAGTTTTTAAGTTAAGTTACTGAGTACCACAAAAAATAGTAACTGAGTAGAGTACTAAATACTCAAATTTGTAAAGTAATTGAGTAAAGTACAGAATACTCCAGGAAAGTAACTGCAATTCATTGTCAAGCACAACCGAAGTCAGAAAATATTCTTCCCCCCAGCTACTATAGAATCTCCTGGAAATCTCTTAGCTAGACTTTGGCTACCACTCAGACTTCTAGGAGGTCCCAAGTAACTATGAATAAAACAAAACAAAAAACTTTTTTCTTTTATACCCTTGCTATGGCGATCGAGGACATATAGCGAGGGCAGCGCAAGGCCCGTTTGTCTGCGGTGGGAGTTTCTACACAGAGGCTTGCCTCTGATGCTCCCCTTGTGTCGGGTGTTCATTTCCGCTTCCCCCGTCAGTGCACAGAGCAGTCATTTGTGCTACCGAAGACAAAAGCGAGTTTTAGTAGATTGTGTTTCCCCCTCCACTAAGCCCTTCCGCTACCCGCAACTCTACAGCCAAGGCCATCGGCACGCAGGCGCAGTTTCTTCGTAGCGGAGGGTTAGCAGAATGGGAAACAGGGTCTACTAAAACTCGCTAATGCTGCATATGCCGCGAGCGATGGGCCGCCGAATTGGAGCCGTGTAGTCGCGTCTTACGAGTCTTGTGTGCGAAGAGAGCCTAGTGAAACGAACGAGAGGTGTGTGCGACTGCGTGCGGATGCAGAGGCATTTCTGAAGCTGGAAGCCTTTCTTTTGTATGCTTTACCTCCATAACATAAAAAAATAAACTCTGGTTTACTGTCGACTCTTACCAGACACTTGCAGAACCCACCCTCTCTCCGACACAAGCAGGGGCGGATTTAGAGGGGCGGTCCGGATGTCCTGACCCCCCTCTTGATTTCTGCTTGTGTAAATTTTAGGGCGTGAAACGAGGGAGAGGGGGAGGGGGTTCCTGAACGTATGATACGCTGACCAACACCTGACCCCCCCCCCATTCAGGAAATTCCTGCATCCGCCCCTGGACACAAATGCCCTCCCTCTGGCTTGTAGCTTTGTACACACCTTACTTTCACCCGCATGCCCTTCTGCTTTGGAATCTCTGTTGCTCTTGGGCTTGGCCACAAACAAATTGTAAAAAAATGTGCTTTGACGTTTTGCCCAGTTAGAACACACGACACGCGTCCGCTCGGCTTGAGGCTGAGACACCTGCTTCTCCGTGTCACCTTTTTCAGCAGAAGCACGCAAGTGCACTGTATTACCTGGCACGAAACATATCCGCAATGGCAGGGCGCCTAGCCAAAATAACTGGAGTTCAATATTTTCCAAGCTTCCCGCTTCTAAAGAAAATAAAAAATAGAAATTCAGCTAAAAGTAACTTTAAAATTAGTACAAGTTACTTGAAAAAAGTATTTAGGTTAGATTACTAAATACTGACGTTCGAAAGTATTTGCAAGATACCAAGTTACTCACAAAAGTATTTAAGATACAGTAACTTGTGTAGAGTATTTAAGTTACGTACAAGTCTGACTCAGACAGAGGCCACGTTTAGCACAACTAGATGTAAACAGGTCATGTTTCGACAGAGTTCTAATACCATCATCCATAGAAGGTAGGCATCAGATACCTATGATGGCATTTCTTTCTATCGTTGGACTTCCATGGCTAACCTTTTCCTTGTAGTGAGCCGCATCTTCGTCTCTGGCAGTGGGAGATGAAAGCAGTCCTCCGCCGCCAGACACTGCTACATCTGGAATGTTCTCAACTCTGTCCGTTGCATTGACCCCTGCCTTGAGTAGGTTCACCTGAGCAACCAAACAATATGGATATTTATATATTTTTTTTCTATACACGAACAGTCCCATTCCTTTGAATGAGTTAGATACAACACTTCCAAAATATCTAAGATCCACACGACAGCATTGGATCCGTGGAAACAGTAGCATTGACATAACACTGACGCTGTATTATCTGACAAAAAGGCAAACAGCGCACAGTAAATGGGGACTAAAGGAAATGCAAACAGGATAGCGCTTGTCATGTTTGCACTCCCTTTAGTCCCCGTTTACAGTGCGCTGTTTGCCTTTTTGTCAGTATGAACCAACTAACCCACATCGCCACCCTTATTCAGTGTATTATCTGCATTGTTGCCGCTTCATACCGTTATACATTGTGCACCTTCATACCGTACAACAGCCCTCTTTAAGTCTTGGAACACTCGTTATTATGTTAAAACGCCCGAGACCGGGTGTGAAAAACCTTGAAACAACCAAAAGTAGAAGAGGTCAGTCAGATGACGTCTCAATCAAACAGTGAAAGAAGTCAGTCAGACGACAGGGAAAGAAGTCCGACTGACTTCATTCCCTGTCTCTGCTACTTTTGGTTGCTTCAAGGTTTTTTCACACCCAGTCTCAGGTGTTCTAACATAATGAGAAACTTACACCAGCTCCCCTGCACCCTCACTATGCTTTCACAATTGTTAGCTGAAATACCCTGTATTGTGTGTTGAAAAAAAAAGGCATCACCTTGGTCTCGAGGACCTTGATCATCTCCTCCTTCTCCTCGAGGATGCAGCGCAGGTTCTCCTCCAGGTGGGCCTTGGCCTGCTGCTCCAGCTGTGCCTGCTCCCTGAGTTCCCCTATCCTGCGCAGGGCCTTGTCCTGGCTCTCTGTCAAGATCTTCTGCAAGACAGGAAGTGCTCTCTCCGCCATCCCATTCCGCAGCCCCCTCCCGCTGGGATGATGTGGCAGTACCGCAGGGGCAAATTTTGGTTAAAAAAGGAAAGCGTTTCCTCAGCCTAGTGTGCACGTAAAATAATTTTCACACACAGCTCAACTTGACTAATGCCGGCTTCATTAGGACAAAAAGGCCCTTATCGTACACACATCGTCATAAACATGCTCCATCATTCACAGAACTCATCACATCTCGTCATAATCAAAAATAAATAAAAAACAAGTCACTATGTAGTCCGCACCTGTTAGGTAGTCTGCACTGCACCAAATTTAAACTGTTGAACATGTATGTAGTCCAGAAAATATGGTGGCAATATGGCAGTGTCTGGAACGCGTCTTTGACGGGTGTGTTTGGCATCCAAAACCGCCCATGCATCAAAAATGGTCCCGAAATGGCGACAAATTGCGTCACGGGGGTCCAGAGGGTTAATATATTATAACTAGGGTACGGAGTTTTCGGTTTAAACTGATAAAAGTATGCCGAGTTCATTTTCTAAAATTCACTTTTAACCGGAAAAGGACACTTTAACCTTCCAGTCGTATTAGCGGCGAGATGTTTTGGGGGCGCCCTCCTACGCTTCCCTTTTGTGACGTCATTACCTCGCGAACAACGAGTTCGATGGTGTTTGTAATTAGCATGGTGGATGCCTGAAATCATTGCGCTCTGAAACCAACACTGCCAACACCACAAAAATTTAAGTTGTTCCATTACTGTTATTTTCGTCGATGATAACTCCTTTGGTGACGTCATAGTTGGTGTTCGGCCAATTGTGGAAGGCCGATCACAGCGACGGTTTCGATCGCGCACGTCGCCAATACCGCAGGGTTGTGGCGAAAAAGGGGAACGACAGTGTCTATCGAAACGTGTCCAAATGTTTGAGATGTGCCATCACGACGTTTTGGTTTAATGTGCGCATCATCGATCAAAACGTGAAGTCCGAAATGCTCCATGACTTTGTCATGTACGAGCGAGTTTTCAAACTCATTGTAAGGAGGACTGACTTGATGCAAGCTCTGCATGTTGTGTTGTGCTTCAAAACGTCGCACCGTGTCTCTTTTGGCGGTCACAATTGGTTGTTTGGCCGATTTTGGCTCAGGCAGCGCTTCATCTCCTCAGCCTGCCAGTGTCCAGTGTTAGCGTTGAGAGGGCATTCTCGAAGCTCAGGGTCATATTGACAGGAAAGAAAGAGTGCGGAGCAACGAGGAGAACCTGGGAAAGTACATGTGTGTGTGTGTACCATAATAAGATCACGTAATCCTGATATACAGAAGGTGAAGCTCCATGATTTTGGGCATATAGGCTTCATATCTGACTTGTTTGCAGTTGTGTTGTGTTTTTTTCTTCTTTCTTTTACAGTTGCACACATTTGCCAAGTGAAATGTCCATTTCTTTTTCAGTGTATATGTGCCGCTATTCTTTGAGTAATCACAAATATCAGGGCTACAAGGATAATCTGATCCGGTGTCTGTTGGTATTTATATTATATTTACCGAAAAAAGCCGATAAACTTTTGTGGGCATAAATACAGTGAAACCCGTTTAGAACGAACCCACGTACAGCGAATTATTGTCAATATCGAACTCACTGAAAATCTAAATAAAAATGCAAGGAAAACATACTTTTTTATAACGAACAACATATTGGTTATATCGAACTTTTTCCTCCAGCGAAGGCTTCCAAAAACACGCAAACAATCGTCTTCTAGCCTCTACCTTCCTTCAAAAAAAAGAAGTAGGAAAGAAAGAAAATTCCAAAAGCTCTAGTTGCGACAACAAGTGAGCGAAGAGAAGCGATTCAGAAGGGGAGAAAGCTGGAAAAAAATACACACTGCACGCATGCGCAGAGGAAAAAAACTTCTCATCCCAATACGTTTGCCCACGAAGAGAAGCGATTCAGAAAAGGAGATCAGCTAAAAGAAAGAAAAAAAAACAAAAAAAAACACTGCATGTATGCAAAAAAAAAAAAAAAAAAAGATGTTTTCCAGCGCGTTGTTACAAGGCGGAAGTGAAGAGATGAGAAAGAAAGAAAAGGCTCTCGCCTTACGACGAACGCATCGTGGAAGTTCGTTGTAAATTATTATTGCTATATCGAACTACTTGCTATATCGAACTAATCGTAGCGTTTCTTGCTGTTCGTTATAAAAGGGTTTGACTGTATACGTCGAAAAAAGCCAAAAATTGAATATTAAAATAAACACCGTAAAAAATACGCTGAATTTCGAGAAACTAGAAACCGAAAATGCGGAATCCTAATTATAACCTAGCCGGAAAGGTCCCAGACATTCGGGTCGCTTCAGAACGGCAAGAAATAGACGCGGACATCGGTGGTGCCAGCTGGTGGTTCCAGTTGGTGGTCCCGACGGGCCCGCATCGCTGGCGACGCCTTAATATGCACAAAAAAGCAACGAAACATCACCTACAGGGTGTGTATACCTAGTTTTCCCAGAGCTTACTTTGCAGGAAAACGCCAGAATCGTGCAATGTATGAAAAGAAATGAAGCTGATAAGCGCTCGAACAACTTCAACCTGTTGCATAAAAAAAACACTCCTAACTTCTTGTTTGCTTTCTCAACTCTTCCATTGCTCTCTCTCTCTCTCGTAGTTTCTCTCTGGACCAGCGATGTCAACGCTCAGGATTTGCCCCGTTCTGCTCCCAACTTAGCCCCCCCCCCCCGCGGGAGTCAGAGTGTTATGCCGTCGGATGTTGCGATCCTGGTGGTTGACCGCAAATATTCCAAAAAAAGAAAAAAAGAAAAAAAAAGTTGGACGATTAAGGGGTTTCATTTGATGAAAGAGCGTTAACGTTGGTTCTTTCTCACCCCCTTTTTCATCCCTTTCATTCAGGACCCCTTTCCATTCGTTTATCATCGCTTTCCTGTCATTAATGAATGCCTTTCCACTTTGTTTTCCGTCGCACACTTTTGTTGCCTTGCCTCTCCATTTGCCTGAACGCGTGATGTTTTCCCCCTGCCGGGAGTCACATGGATGCACTCGAGAAAGAGGTTCGGCTGGCACTGGTGTCTAATCGGCGAGGAGACAAGCGCTGCGTCGGCGTTCAGCTGGCAGTCGTTCCCTCGACTTCCGTTGCTGGCACCTTACCGGATATGGTTAGGTGCCAGCCATATAACACGTTCCGTGTTCAAACGAAATGAAGAACCTTCTAATGTTGTGTCGACAAATCGAGGATTAAAAGGAAATGCATCGAAATAAGGTACGACACTGAGCGTTCATCGTAATTTTGTGCCTTGAACCATGCGAGCTAGCGCCACCAAGCTGACATGGGCGTAAGCAAGGTCCTTAAGTAAATTACTTACCAGTCTGAAAACTTCGGCAATTTCTGCCCTAGTAAATTTTGGATCCAAAAGCGGAGCTGATAAAAAGAATATCTAGAAGTATTTAAATTTTTTTTTAAGCAAACACAGCACCCTTTATGTGCTTTTTAATTATTCTGAAATAACATCGCTTTTAGTTCTCAAATATAGATGGCACCTCCAATCATCCACTTTTTCGACGGGTCCACAGGGAGGGATGCGTACAGTGACTTACTCCACGGTGGCTTCCCTGAAGCTACATCCATCCATTAGAATTTTCGAGCAATCTGATTGGTTGATGCCTATAACGTTGGCTGTGCGCCCCTGTTGCTTCAGTTTGCCCCTAGGAAAAACATTCCTATAGCGTAAAGAAAAGATTAGAGGCCAGTCACGGTAGTACTGCCTTTCTGGTAGGATGTAATCAGAAGGGCTCTTGACAACAAAAAAGGGAAAACTATGTTACTTAGGTTAATTCTATTGCATTTTTACTTCTTTTAGTCAACCGCTGCTCAATTCCTTATGATGCTTTTACTTACAGACTTCATGTGCTGCATCTGCACTAGCTCAAAATATGTACCAATAAATGCACATTTTAAACAGGTGATAGAGCTGCCAATTTAGTATTAATAAATTGCAATATAATAAGGGACTATAAAAATAATGGGTTCTGCTTTGATAACAATTGAGTGCGCTCAATAATACTTCTGTCAAGTGCAAGAGATATGCCTAAAATAAGCAGCGAATGTTTCTTACGAAAATCGCAACTAACTCTTTTATTAACGTAGAAGTTTGGGCTTGGTTGTATGCAGACATAATTAAAAACAAAACAGCGCAAAGACGAGGACAAAGTAAAAGGTAACTAACAGGACACAATGCTGACTCTCAACTGAAGATTCATTTATGTTAGCATCCAGTATAAATCGCAAACACGCCACACCACATAAACCAAGAAAAAACACAAAAAATGCATATCATGTGTTCAATACAACACCGTCACTGGTTTGCCCTCCTTGCACCAAGTACTGTTGGTCTTTATGTGAAAGCACGAGCGAAGGGGCGCTAAAACATTCGGTCTCAGTCTCACAATGTAACGAGCTTCTATAATTTCACGCGCGACTCTGTCCTTGTTTTTTAAAAACCATTTGGCATTTGTCGAAGACAGGGAGGCAACCACAATCTCTGCAGTGCACCCCGACGTGACCCAAAACAACTTTAAAAATGATATATCGGTGTTCTCGGAGCCAATCGTTCATGCATCTTCCTGTTTGACCAACATAACGATGGCCGCAAGATAATGGAATGGAATAGACCACTCCCTGAAACAATAAACAAATCGATTTTGGTGCTTTTTAGTGCACCCAATCTTATTTTTAACATCTGAATCAACTTTTCTGCAGATCCCGTCCAACTCATTTGGTGCTGAGAACACCACCTCAACTCCCACGTGGCTTATCACTTTCTTCAGATTACGTTCGATACCGTTATTTTTATTTACTTGTCTAGCCTTCAAAGTGGAGTTACTGCACCTTTTCTTTGGTAAGGTCTCAGCCACTGCAGTTACCGTATTTACTCGAGTAATAGCCGCACTGTTTATGAAGACAACCTGAGGGTTAGCTTTTCCGTGGAACATGCGGCTTGCCAATCACCGCGATTGACCACATAATTCCAGCGGTTTACAGGAGAAAAATAATATCTTCGCGCAAAGATACTTTCTATAAAAAATGCATTTGTATGGAGAATCACATTCTCTATTTGGTTATTCGCTATGTTATTTTTGCGCAACGCGATAATTGGCTGGGTATGTGCTCTGTGATAAAGCAGACGCAAGGGCCTTGTTCATAAAGTGCGGCCACATATTACTCGAGTAAATACGGTAGTAGGTAGGAATCTTCAGCTGAGAGTTGGCGCTGTGTCCCGTCCCTTACCTTTTACTTTGCCCTCATCTTTGCGCTGTTTTGTTTTAATTACCGTATTTACTCGAGCAACAGCAGCACTGTTCATGAAGAAAACCTGAGGGTTTGCTTTTCCACGGAGCACACGGATTGCCAATCACCGCGATTGACAGCATGATTCGAGCGGTTTACATGACAGAGATAACGTCTTCGCGCAAAGATACCATCTGTAAAGATTGAGTTTGAATGGAAAATTGTATTCTCAATCTAGTTATTTGCTATTGTTGTGTATGCGCAACGCGATAATTGGCTGTATACCGTATTTACTCGCGCAATGAACGCACTCGCGTAATGAACGCACCCCCCAAGTCGGCTCTCAAAATTTCTACTTTTTTTTCACTCGCGTAATAAACACACCCCCAACTCGGAGGTCAAACTTTTGACCCCCTCCTCCTAACCGCGCGAAATGAACGCACTTTTCTATCCTGGTGCAGCGAGGTCGCGAATGCATGGGCAGCGTGGTCGAACAAACCGCCTTGCAAGAGGCGTTAAGAAAATTCGCAAAGATCCAACCCAAGCAAGAAAAAAAAAAACATGCGAGAGGAGCTTTTTTTTTTTTTTGCACAGCGCATTTGAACTTTGGGTTCGCGCGCTGCCGCGCGCAAGGAGGTCAGAAAGAAGCGGAGAAACGCTCTAAGCGAAAGAAAGAGCTCGCGAAAGGCGGCAAAAAGAAAAGAAAAGAAACCCACGGAACTAAAAGAAAACGAAGAAAAGCTTTTTTTTTTTTTTTTTTTTTTTTTTTTTTTTTTTCACAGCGCAGTTTGGTTACGGGGGGTCGCGCGCCACGCGCAAGGAGGTAACAAAGAGGAGCGGAGAAGCCCTCTAAGCAAACAAAACAGCTTGCGAAAGGCGGCAAAAATAAAAAAAAGCAAAAAAACCACGGAATTGAAAAAAAAAAGAAGGGCTTTTTTTTTTTTTTTTTTTTTTGCACAGCGCAGTTTGGTTATGGGGGTCGTGCGCCGCGCGCAAGGAGATAAGAAAGATAAGCGGAGAGCCCTCGCCTAAGCAAACAAAACAGCTTGCGAAAGGCAGCAAAAAAAAAACCCCAAGGAACTAAGAGAAAAAGAAAACAAAGGATATTTTTTGCACAGCTTAGTTTAGTTACGAGGTCGGGCGCCGCGCGCAGAGAGATAAGAAGTTACTTCGATTTTTCAGGACAAAAGGTCCGTTCATTATGCGAGTAAATAACCGACGCAAAAATTTTACTTCGCGTAATGAACGCCCCCCCTAACTTTGCATCGATTTTTCGGAAAAAAAAAGTGCGTTCATTCTGCGAGTAAATACGGTATGTGCTTTTTGGGAAAGGAGAAGCAAGGGCCTTGTTCAAAAATAGTGTGGCTATTACTGGAGTAAATACGGTACTCTTTCATATTTCTCTCTCTCTCTCTCGAGGACCCTTCTTACCTTTATCTTCTCCTTTTCCGAGTCCAGGGCCCGGTAGGCTTTCACCACCTGCAGACAAGGAAGGAAAAAGAGAAGCTTATTTGTCATGATGTGCATAGCAGTCTATTTTTTTACCAAATGCACTGCAGACAAATACATTAAGCACATTCACAACCTCGATGGCAGAAGTCTAGACGCAATTTTTTAAGATTAGCTTTTGGTCTCGAACAGGTTGACTCACTGGTCCTGATTTAATACAGACCCCCAGCAGGTTCAAAACACGGCCAAGAAGCACGAGAGCACAATGGCAGCTGCTCGCGAGGAACAGCTGTCTGTTAAAAAGGTTTTTTTCGTGCTCCTAATGAAACCACAGTTTTTTGCTGGTGTTTCCCAGGCAAAAATCAGTCCACTTCCAGCTGGATTTTGGATCTGGAAATGAGGCGATCCGCCTCATTTCCAGTTCCATAATCCAGCTAGAAGTGGACTGATTTTCGCCTGGGTTGCCATAGCCTAGGTTAGATTTCAAGCAATTTGATGAAAGCTTTCAAGCTATTCAAGCTTTCATCACCCCGACGCCATGCACCACTCCAACCCCATTCATTTCAAGATTGCCATTGAGTATCTCATTCAATGAAAAGCCATCCTCATGTAATACCCCATGTCTGGGGCATTTGAGCTATAATAAATAAATAAATAAATATATAAAAATAACTTTCCAGCTTTTTGATGAAAAAAATAAAATGCCACAATAACAGAACTTATAAAAAACAATATGTGTAAACATAGAAATTAAAAAAAAAATGCAGCTTTGATAAAAAAATTTAAAAAAGAAATATTCCTCAGAATTATGGAGATGATAAACTAATTACCAGAATGCCAAGCTACCCTTTGTACCCTTTAGTGCTTAAACCACAAAACTGAGCCTAAGGTACTCGCACGTAACCCAGCCCGAGAGGCTCTGGTTAAGAGAATGCCAAGATTCTGACGAAGGCATAAAGATATGACCCAAAACCTGACATAAAGACCTCACATCAAGATTTTATATCAGGACTTGATGTCAAGACTTCAAGTCAAAGCTTGACATCAAGACTTGACATTAAGACTTAATATAAAGAATGTCGAGACTTGATGTCAAGATCTGATATCAAGACCTAATGTCAAGACTTAATGTCAAGAAATGGTTTCAAGACTTTAAGACATGATGTCAAGACATGGTGTCGAGACTTGGGATCAAGACTTGAAGTCAAAACTGGACGTCAAGACTTGATCTCTTCACATCAAGGTTCACATCCTTTGGCTGGACTTGACCAAAAGACTCTAAACCATAGATTGAAAGGACCAAAGGACTATTCCACGAAGCCTTCACCATTAAACAGGACGCACTCACTTCGGCATATTTTCCCTTGTACTTGTGGACACGAGCGTGGGTCTTCTGGAAGGCGGCAAAGAGCTGTTCCTTGGAGACGGCATCCAGGTCGATGCCCTGGTGCGCTTCTTCAACCTCACTCTCGATGTCAGACTGGGGCACGTACTGGGGACCCTCCGGGGAGCGATACAGGGGCAAGATGGCCGCCCCATCGCGGTCACCGAAGGATGTCCGAGGTGGCGACGGGCCAGCACGGTCGTCCGAGAAAGACACCTCCTCGAAGCCGAGGGCATCCTTGGTGCACGAGACAAAATGGGGAAATGAGTTAGGCATCTTATTGCTATATGTCAGCAGTCAAGGCTGGTTAAATTAATTGATATAATGCAATAAGAAAATAGCATTTGGTCAGTAACCAACTAACACCGTTTCTCTAGTCATATAAATAGAAAAAAAAATTCTTAGTTGAAATATAACAGTAAACTATATTATCTTTTTGAGCTCAATATTTTTAGAATTTTGCGAATTCTGCGTTTCGTGGATATTTCATGGGCAGAAAATTTTGTTCTTTTGAGTACCACCATCAGACGATGGTACGATATTCGTGAGATCACATTTTTGTAATATTTTTCAAGTTGCAGAATGTGCCAATATTAGGTGGTTTACAGTGCACCGAGTTGCCACTACACAAAAACTGTTTTTTATGCCAATCTCATTTTTAGCAGGGTATAATTTTCTGGACTTTTCTTCAATGACTTTTATATCATTCTTTGCAAACTAAAAAAAAATGTTATAAAAAAATTGCAGTGGCTTAGCTCGGCTATGCCAGGATATACGTAGTGTGAGCTTATGCGCACAAGGTGAGAGGCGCTATCAAGCGGCTCCGGTACAGCATCAGATTTGGCTACTGCGCAACGGAGGCGCACAGCTGGGCACGCGGCGGCACCAGTGCGTCTGCCGCGGCTATGACGTCACTCCTCTGGAGTGCGCAGACCGGCAAGGCAAGCGCGACAGCGGCGGAGCGCGCTGCGGCGGCGGAGCGCGCTGCGGCGGCGGAGCGCGCTGCGGCGGCGGCGCGCCAGCTGTGCGCTGTGTGACGTCACTGCTCCTCGCACATGCGCAGCACGGAGCACGGCTCATTATGCAAGCCACGCGAAACTGCTGTGTAGCTCATGCTACAAAATATTTTATGAAATAGGTTTTGCATGTTGTACAAATGTATATCTTCAACCTCTATCTCAGGGGTCTCAAATGCACAGCTCGCGAGCCGCGGTACCATGTCTCGAGCGCTAGAAATGGCATGCGCCATCGTGATCTCATCCTCGCCGATTCATTTTCACTCAAAAAGTACCTCTTCTCTTTTAACGTATTCACGCAGTTTTTGCTAATGTTCATTTTATGTTCGCTTTATTTTTTGCTTCCCAGCTTTTTGTAATGTACAACTATTGCGGTACTAGGCTGCAAGCGCGAGCTCTCCGTTGAAGGATGTATCTCGGCTGCGCAAACTCTCGATCAGCAGGAGCGACGGCCAAAGATAAAGCTACGAGCTAGGGATTCTCGCCTAAAAAAATATATACAGGGTGTTTTTTTTTTATTCTTACAGATTTGTTTAAAGGGAAGGTGAAACAGAATTTTGATTTTAGAAAACAACGCAACAGCGCTAGGCGGGGCGCTACAAACCCGAAAGCATCCCGCATAAAGCGATATCTCCAACGGATGTTTGTATTTTTTTGAAAGAAGAGCGCACTTGAACAAAGCCAAAAAAGCCCGTGACGTCGCTATTCTCGTTTCCTCCTCTTCTCGCTTTGACTCCGCAATGACGCGAAAAGGGAAGGAAGCAAGGCCGTTTCCCCTCCTCCTCAACAATTCTGCAGGAAATGCGACGTCGCGGTTCTCACTCAATCGCTACCTTATTTTACAAAAATACGGCCATCCGTTCGAGATATCACTTTATGAGTGGTGCTTTGGGGTTTGTGGCGCCCCGTTGAACAATCCTGCTACCCTATTATGCAAAATCCAGATTTCACTTCAGCATCCTTTAAAAAAATCTGTGAAAGCTACACTTATGCGATTTGTGCGGGTGGGAATTATACGACAAGGTGGACATTATGGGGGTAGATAATCTTTGTTTGATAAGACGACTAATTATTAAAATTCGTTAATTAAATTTTTAATGAGTGAAACTAGACATATGGTTTTAATTAGAAACTTGTAGAGCACCACCGAAAACCCCTAAATCAACTAGTTTTAGGATATAACGCCGGGGCAGCATTTTACGGCGTTGTCTAAGAACGCTCTGTTTGGATGCGTTTCTAGATGTTGGTTCCTTATCGAAGGGCATCACCACACCCGCAGTCCTGCTCCCCAGTGACTGAGACGCGCAACAGACGTGCGCCCTACTTCCCTCCATTCTACGAGGGAGGTGAGGAAATGGCTTCGAGCTGCGACCACCGGGGAGCAGGACCGCGGTGCAAAGGTGCGCGAACTCTTCTGTTTTAAATCGTTTGAACCACCCCGTCTTATGCTGGCCCTCGACCTTTCCGGTGTGGGCCATCTGACCACCACGCTCAAATGAGTTTGAGACAACTGCTCTATCCGAACAAATTTGTCCATTACAAAATATAGAAAGATTGACTGAAGCCCCCACTCAAGCGGCAAAGAATCCAATAAAAAAATGTAGCTGCCTGATGTCTTGATTGAGTCCCTTTCATAGCTACACAAAATTCACAGAATAAAACTGTTGTCACCTACCAGTATAAAGTGGAACTGTCAAAGGAGGCCCGGACCTCGGTTCTACCAGAACTTAGAGCAGAAAATGTCACCTCATGAGAATCAGACCATGAAACTGGTGGTTTAACTGTCCCATGGTCTAGCTATCACGTGGTCTAACTGTAGAGCGACCATAATCTACAGCATAAAAAACGGGACATTGGAAAAAAAAAAGGGGGGGGGGAAGCAAAAGAAAAAGCAAAGTCTGCTACTATTCAGTTCATTCTACATATGTTCCGAAGTTCATTGTTTAATTGAGTACTAAGGCACCTTTCTTGTTTATTTTTCAACGAAAACAAAACATGCCAAATACCGTATTTACTCAAGTAATAGCCGCACTGTTTATGGACAAGGCCCTTGCTTTTTCTTTCCCGCAAAGCACAAATACAGCCAATCATGGCGCTGCGCATAAATAACATAGTGAATAATTAGATAGAGAACACAATTCTCCATACAAATGCAATCTTCATAGATGGTATCTCCGCACAAAGACGTCATCGCGTAAATCGCTAGAGTCATGCTGTCGATCGCGGTGATTGGCAGTTCGCGTGCTCCACGGAAAAGCGAACCCCCAGGTGTTTTTCATAACAGCGGGGCTATTGCTCGAGTAAATACGGTATAGTATTATAGAAAAGTGCCCCGAAACAAACATCTGTGCAAACAGAATGTATTGACAGATGAAACCAAAGACAGAGCTCCAAATTTACTTTATGGGTGGAAACACTTTTATAGTATGTTTATTTTTATAAAATATATTAGGTATTCTTTTTTTTTTTTCCATTTGCTTAGCACTAATTCTGCAACTATGCATGCATGCTCACTTAAAAACGGGATGCGAGGCTTCACTGAGAAAAAAAATGACAGGACGGCAGAAATACACCTAAAAATTGGGACTGTCCCAGCCAAAATGGTATGTTTGGTCACCCTATCTAACCTTCAATTTCGTGGTCAGACTGTCATGTGGTGAAAACATTTGCAAACACACAACTGCACTTCCGAGTACACTGGCACCCCTCACAGTACATCAATATTTCATATTAACTTACTGTAAGGGGCTGCCTTGGCACACGATATCCTGTACTGAAACGTAATCTAAAGTGTAGACTGCGACGGGTTTAATTTTGCGAGAAATGCAACATGCGCATCTTCTCCAACACAAGGTGGGGGATGCCCACCTTCTTCTTCAAGGGGGTGTTGGCGCCACTAGACAGGGCGTCATCGTCATCCTCCGTGATGCTGAACTGGTCGGCAGAGGCATGGGATGCTGGCTGGCTGCCTGATGCTGTGCCGGACTGCTGGGGGGACTGTCCGTTGGACTCCCCAAAGTTGATCAGGTCCTTCCGGTGCAACGAGCGCAACAGGCAGAAAGGGTGAGCACACGACAGTTGGGGAGCACAAAAAATGCCACGCACAAGAACGATGCAAGTGGTATCTGAAGGAATGAGCAAACTTGTCTCCCGACACTCACTGCCGCACTTTGAAACGAATGGGCTGCTATCTTTTTCCCTTTAAAGTACTTAATGTGCCACTTACAAATTTGTCTGGAAGAAGTGCTTCTTCATGCTAGTGCCCCGCGGGAAAGCGGTACCCGTGACAACGCCATTGTGGTTGTTGCTTTGCTGCAGTGCATCTCTGCCACGAGGGAAAGCATGCTCATGGGGCTAACAATTTGTCTTAAAGGGGCCCTGCAAAAACTTTTTCTTTTACTGGTTTTTCATTTGCATCGAACCTGAGTGCACTGAATGCAGTAACTTAACGAAACTCTTCTTTTCTCAAATTTCGCTTTATTTTAAAAGTTATAGGCAAATTAAAATGACAAAAACAAGCAAAAAATAACCTCCTTCATGACGTTCTTGGTTGCTTGAATGGCCGTGAACTAGAGGAGTGGTAGTAAGCTCAGCGAGCACTCACGGCTGCCACACTCCGTCTCGACAGCTCGAGAGCGCACCATTAAAGCATGTTCTGGATAGGCTGTATGAAACGGTCAGCCAGGGCGGCTCGCACTGCATTTGCTGCATGATTAAACACTAATTCGGCATGACACTTCATTGGCCACAAACGACAGCAAACACAAGATAAAAACCAGTTCAGAACGGGAGCCACTTCGCGCTGCCATTTCGGCAAAAAGCCAAACCGCAAGCCAAAGCTGCTCGCCGAAGACCTTCGGAATGCTCGAAACCGGTCGGATCCTCGACTGCAGCGCCGCCGCATACATTCAGGATCTTTCTACGCTCGCCGCTATTCGGTGCCTGATCCCACTATGCCTTTCTAGTATGGGCCGCCTTCTCCACCGCTTGGTGGCAGGTATGTCGACGGGTCATTTCTTGTTTTCATACTTTCTAAACTACATTTGTTTCTTTTCTGATCTAAAATGCTGAACAAAAGCTACTTTTATAAATAATTAAAATGGCTTGCGCCACTTATAGTTTGTATATTGACTAAAAAGAAGCTTTTAGCAGCTCTGACCAGTAGTAAGCCCAGGACCAAAGACGTCACATTTCGCGCGCTTTCGGCACCGCGGGTCGCTCGGTAGGTGGAGGAGGTTTCCGCGTCCTTCGGTTAAAATATGACGCACTGATATTTAGTCACTCTCTCCGTGCCTGCTGGCTTGCTCGAACCCCAAGAGACGTTGAAACCGTAAAAAAGGCTGACGCTTAAATATGATTGCAGGACCCCTTTAAAGGGGCACTCCGGCGATTTTTTTATGGTCGCTGATTTGCCTCAAAATTGGCTGAACACACCGATAGACACGGCTGTACCAGTTTCCCAAGTATTGTGTGAAAAGAAAAACATTTCGAAAAGTTACTGTATTTTCGAATATCGTTTTCATCATGTTTCTCGAACCGGGGGCCCCTACTGGCAACATTAAAGTGTGACGACAGAAATGGTACAAAGCGGGCGGTAAGACATGTTCCCACCCGATTACTATACATTTGATGATGGAAAAAGAATGCTTGATAGCTGATTCACTGAGAAGCATACAAAAAACACTCTACATACTCTATTTAAGACTACCTGCATGACCTGAAAGTCTGTACCATTTGTGACGTCACAATACTGGAGAGCGTGCGGAAATCTGAATGCTGGTTTCGGCACCATCTTCATTTACAATTTTCTCAATTGCTATTCCAAGTTTCAAGAAAATAAATAGCATACCGTGAAGACTAAAGTCTGGGTAGTCAGAAAATGCAATTTGTTTGGGTGGCTAAAAAAAACAGCCGGAGTACCCCTTTAATGAATTTCGATGATCATGATTCAATTTGAAGATCTAATCAATATAAGGCTATCATTCGAGTAGACATTTGGAAGTTTCTGACGTTCTGAAATGTCTAATAGGTACCCAACATTATTTTCGAATGTGGGAAGTTCCAAGAGATAGCAACAGCATATTCCTTGTTGGTAAAATCTTCTGATGATCCTCAAAGCCACATGTTCACTACGTGAAAGAATTTCCTACAGCTTTCTCCATGAATTTTGTTGCTTCTCCGAAACTCCTTAAATTTTTTTTTATTGATACCACTACTGTCTTCATTAACGCAATAAGAAAAGAGCTTTCCGGTTTTCTTTACTCTTCACGGACGAAAGCTCATGTGTCCGTGAAGACAAAGACATACTATGAGATATTAGGCGATTTAGAGAAGATCGTCTTAGCGAACATCGTTTAACTGACCGCAGTTTAGATAATTTGGCTATACCCAGTTTAGACAATTTGGCTATATTCTCCCTTTAGCGAATTCGGCCGCCACAAAGCAGCATGTACTGATGGGTTAGATGGGTTAACATTTTTGTGGTGAGGCAACGCAGCGGCGTAAACGCGGCGGGGCGGGTGGGTTGACATGCGCCCCAGTGATGCATGCGCGAAGTAGAGGAGCCTTTTTTAAAACAGCATTTCTTTTCGATGAACGGCATTTCTCTAAATTGAGGCCCCGCTTTCTCTAATTCGAGCTTCAATGAAATGTGCCCGTTTTCTAGAACATTAAATAAAACTGAAAGAATAAACATAGGGATGTCCTTATGTTTATTCTTTCAGTTTTATTTAACTTCACCAACGTGCTCACATCGAACTAAGTGTCTAAAACATGTTTCGTTGAAATGGCTTTCGATAAACCATAGTAAACCCGTATTAGACAACTTTTCATCTGCTTAATGCCAGTGTAACTAAGCCGATAAGAGAGTCTTAACTTGGGGAAACATAACTTTGTTTATCAATTGAAACTTCCAACATATTAGAGCGAGTAAAACATTCAGTCACTGATTCAATATATTAGAACACCTCGCTGTATTAACTTTTGATGATGAACACATACTTCAAGGGACACTGACACCCCCCAAAAGTTTTTATTTTTTTGCCAGGCGATTCATTATGGTTGTCAGAAGACTACCCTATCAATATTTTGCTACTGCGTCACATATGTTTTTTTATAAAGTCAAAAAACGCAACTGCTCGAAACCGAAATCAAAATTGAACTGGGGAGGAAGAAGAAATGTACAGGAGAAAAGAGTTGAAAGAAGTCATGTGGCTGTGCAACTTTTTTTCTCCAATCAATGGATTTGCGGCTTTATAAAAGCCAGAAGAAATGGGTATCATATTTCTTTTCTATCTTTAATACTGAGTGTGTGCCTTCGATGAACTTTAATTATCTTTGGTGGTTGTGTGTAAACCATAGAAAACGGCATGTGACCACGAAGAAGAGAATGAGTGCGACTCAAACCGGCCAGTTCTCAATCGCCGGTTTTCGAGCAGAAAGAAGATGAATTCTGAGCCACAAATTGTGTTCTGGGCAGTTGTACTGTCATATGTCATGCACAAATAAAAACCTTTGTGAGCATAAATACCCTGTCAGTGTCCCTTTAATGCCCGTGTCCCACTAGAGCGACCGACAGAAACAAAAGACAGCGACAAGCCTCAAACCCATGCAGCATGCTCGCAATGGTACCTTTGGCAGGCGTCTAGTAGCTCGGTGCTCGTGAAGTAAGCACGAGCGATTGCAAGTCTGCCAAAGATTCGTGTCTCCAGCTCGACGCTCGCCCTCCCGTGGCGGAAACGGGAAGCGCTCTAATGAGGGTCTCCCGATTTTCCTGCTCAGCGGGCATGGAGGAACTGCTCGCGATCATGGCTCGAGAAATGTCGTTTCCGAATGCAAACAACACTCTTCACTGTCCCAACATAGTGCTGCAGTCGGCATGGGATTGTACCTTACTGGAGGGTTTTAGTATTGCGCATAGAAGCAAACGCAAGCAATGCGAGTTTGCGTTAGTGTTGCGTGCCCCGCGTTGTGCGTGTGCCTCATCGCCATGCGCCATCCAAGACCGCAATTTCGAGATCCGCGCACGCGCAGTGTGGAACACGCAAAGCTAACGCAAACACACAGGGCTTGAGTTCGCTCGTATACGCAATATTAAAACTAACTACTGTTCCACCGGCTTCAACGCCAATGGAACGTGCTGCAGTGAGCAGACATGCAAGCAGCTAGGTGTTCCTTCGAACTGGAAAGACTGAGATTGGCAAAACGACGGCGAGCGACTACAAAAGTAAATAAAAGTAAGAAAGAAAAAACTAGTAATTAAAAAAAAAACTTTTTTATTTTTTTATTTCTGGGCATTTGGTTTGGAAGTATATTGGCGGCGACTTTGGGCGTTTTGCCGATTGTCAAAAGTCGCGACTCTGATAGCACAATATACTTTATTCACAATTAATGTAATTTTACATGGATTTCTCACATTAGCTAGAATGTTTTCATTGATTTTAAACTATTTTTATTTTATTAGTAATTAATATGCAGCAATTGGAACCAGTGATGATAATTAGCCCAGTTTTCATTGTCATATTTCTTCGTGCATTTAAAATTAGATCATAAGCAACCAATTAAATTAGAGCTCAAAGAATTACTTATTCAAATATGTGAATTTAAATAATATTATTATTAATACAAATCGCGGCAATGTATGCCTCTAGTTAACGCCAAGATCAGGCCTTTCCAGAAAGGTATAATTCTGTTTTCTTCTTGGCATATGAAAAACTCTGGCATAGTTATCAAGATAGACAAACAGTCAAACACTGGGTGTAATATAAAGTCCTACGCGTCATGCGGTGCTTCAAAAACACACACACACTTCAGCTGTCTGACTCGGATTCAGTCTTGGGTTGTTGCAGTGAGAACGGCGTTTATTAGTTAATGCGTTTCGTGGACATATGATAAAAATTGGAACTATTCTCTTACTCTTGTGTTGGGATAATTGTCATTATTTCCCATGACAATCATCTGAGCGAGAAAAAGGCAGCGAGAATGCACAGATATCAGCACTGATTTTTTCAACAACTACAAATATCAGCCTGGATCGAACAGTATGTCACAAAGTAAAGTTTCCGCAAACAACTATTGTAAGTAAATGATTACGATGTGAGCCAGATCTTGAGTTGTGAAAGAATCCGAAATTAAGACCTATATCGAGAAATTAAGTCCAAAATAGAGGTAAGTTTCGGTTTCGCTCCAGAATTAAAACGCGCATCCTTCCGTAAATAATACGCTAAACACCATTCTTGTTTCCAGGTTAAAGAGGTGACCTGCGCTCATAAAACATTAGCTCTCTCGTATTACCAGAAATAATTTATGTCGCTCAGTGAAACCAGCACACTAGACAGGCTCAACAGCGGCACGCATCTCTGACCCTCACTAAACCTGCCATCTTGGAAAACGAGTGGCGCCACCTATAGTTAGTTGGAGTCGCGAATACCCTCCCGTGCATGATGCTCATGTTTGAGCATAGCCTCTTTTATTCTACAAAGCCTCTCAAATCGCAAAAGACTCTGGTTTGAGGCTTGTCGCTGTCTTTTGTTTCTGTTTGTTGCTCTAGTGGGACACGGGCATAAGAGATCAGGAAGTAAACAAGAAAGATATGATTGCAACCAAGTAATGTCTTACACTCACGTCATGCCGGTGGCTTCATAACTGAAAGAGCATACCTTGTGCAACATTAATTAAATTTCTAACCAATGAGGAATAGATTATGATGTCACATGCAAGCCAACCAGTTCAGCGCATAGGAATCACCTATATTCAAAACAGGTCCAACACCATAAAATCTCAAAGTAATAAGTTCCAATTATTACTGAGCAGAGGTACGGTCAATTAATAATATCTCAGTAAATATGAAAGAAAAAAAAAAATAATAGAAAAGGTATTTTCCTAGGGCCAGTTAGCATTCATAACTGCTACCTCAAAAAACTCTTTTTTTTTTTTTAAATTTACATTGGTTTTAACAAGTATGACGGCATTGTGATAACGGAAGCAAGACCGACCGCCCGCCCCCCCCCCCCCCCCCCCCCCGTCATATGAATATTTTAAAGATTGGGGTTTGTTGCATTGACTATAATTTAGAGCATAACAATAGCAATAAAAAAAGGCAGTAAGGTTACAGCCTCTTGCAAAATTCTTACGTGCTGCGAGCTGGTTGAATCATCGCCCTCCGTCTGGAACACAAATTCTTTGGCTTAAACAACCGTGTGCCAAATATCTCAACACCAAACACACGCACACACATACTTCCCACTGACGACACCGTAAACAACATGAACGTCTCGTTAGTTCGATAAAGCTTAGATCAACCATACAATGAGAATTAGAGACACAGAAAAGCTTCGAATCACGGCAATGTTATCCTTGTTAATTAATTAATGACCAGACCTTCCCACGCACTAGACCGTCACGGGCTGGTGAGTGAGTAGGCGTATGCATCGGTCGTGAACGCTGTCGCAAGGGAAAGCCCAGCCTTCCAAGTTTCCCGCGATTGCCGTCACGACGGTCCCGAAAGTTTGACTCAGGATGTCGGTCAGCACGCGAGTGCTGTCTCGATATTTAAAGTGAACTCGATCCATATTTAAAGGGAAGGCTCTTTAACGGCAAGCAGCAGGCTGTATGCTCTGTAAACAAACTGACCTGCCCAGGGAACTGGGGGAATCGGATGGGTGCCTGCTTGACTTCTTCCACGATTTTCTCTTTGAGCCTCTTGAACATTGTCGGGAGCCAGTTTTAATGCACTTGCATCCCATAAAACATCGTGGGATTTCTCGGAAAATGATCCGTAACCAACCCAGCCGCACAAGTCAGTATCCAGAGGCACACGTTACACACCACATAAACAGTCCTAATACCTTCCCATGATTGACCTCTCCCAAGCCCTGATTTTATAACGGAAACTCTTATTCAAGCCCTAAACCGATCCGACGTACACATATCGAGCAGTTATTTTGTATTAATAACTATTTTATGGCTTTTGTTTTGCGCAAAATGAAATAAAAACAACTGAGGAGCAGTAGAAACGTATGTGTGGATACGACGTTATGCTCAGACTTCCGGTCAATCATCACCGCTTTTGGCGACATCCGGGAATCCGAGTAATCATGGCGCTGGCGAAAACGTTAACTTGATGGAAATTGTGGTTCGCACGTGTCAAGTTGGCCTTCCAGCGATCCCCAGCGACGAAATAAATGTAACGGAGTTAGCCGCACGTGGAGAATGGACCGTCCGTGCCGCGTACATTGCGTTATCTGCGATGCCATGACACGGGAAAGTCAATAGGTTGGTGGTTCTTCAAATAGCATCGCATCTCAATTTTCGTCGCCCCCGCTTTTTCTCGAGGAATGAATTCGACGGTCGCTTTCTTTTCTCTCCGCTCAGCATAAAAAAAGGTCGAGTAGAGTTGTTGTTCCGCTGCGAGGACTCCCGACCGAGCGATTTTTGGCCCGTTTTCGAGCGACTCGTGACGGGGAAGAGAAAAATCGAGCGGCGATTGCAGTCCGACCGGCGTTGTGTCGCAAACTGACAGCTCCCGCGAACCTGACGCGAGGAACGACACCTTTATAAGGTGTGGTCAGGGGAAGCACTGATTAGACATCGCCGACAAGGGGACTTGTTTCGTGCCGTTGGGTCCCAGATAAAGCATTGTTTGCCTCTTAGCTCGTCGGGGAAAGTTGAAGTGTGTTGGGTGCTCGTAATGCCCTTCAGAGGTAGCTTGAAAATTGATCGCCCGCCGAATCGTATTTGGCAGTGGCGATTCGGCTCTTCGAGTTTATCGATTACGATTGGAGTGGTTTCTTCCTTGTTGACGACAAATTAGGAGCAAAACTCGCGATAACCACCCTGAGCTTTTGACTTATGAATTGCCACTACTGCTGCCGTGACCGCTGTACTAATGATGTTTTTTTCGTGGTTTCTGAATTATTGAGTGCGCTGCTTTATCCTGGCGTTCGGAGGTTGTGTCCTGCTTGCGTTTCTCTGTTGTTGTTTTGGATTTGTTAAAAGATTACGTTTCGAACCTCTAGCGACGGCGGTGGATATTGATTTTGTAGCTTGTGTTGCCCCCTTTTTCTTTAGCCTTGGCCGAATGGTCATCAGCCAGCGGTTGCGTGGTCGCGGACGTGACTCACGCGGTAGCACTACGACAAAATTTCGCGAAGCTTCGGTGATGGCTCATACACCGAGAGAGAAAGCTACACACCACAGACTCGAGTAATTTTTTTTTTTTTTTTTTTTACGATAAATATATTAAAAAAGTGATTAGTGATTGATCCTTTTCCATTCAGTACCCGAGATTTCTAGTATTACGAAGTTGCTTTATTTTCTTGCCGCGAATTATCTCGCTACATGTTTTATAATCAATGTGCACATGGCCTATTTCGACAGTTTCAGTTGTAGCTGGCATGCACCCATATCGTTTGTCATGTTGTCCATTGTCACAATTTGGCTCAAACTGCGTAATGCTAAAATCAGTGGCACACTAGTGTATTGCCCTGGCCATCGTAAAACCGTCGCGCGTGCCTCTATTTCCGCTTATAGGGAAGGGGTTACAAGCTAGGGTATGAAATGAAAGTGTAATCCTAAATGAACACCAGTTGAACTGAACACAAGAAATCCTACAGCAAACAAGCACAGTACAACAGATACGCTTTACTCCATCTCACCGACACCTGCAGTGCCGACAAAAGCGCAGGTGCTAGCGCGCGACTTTGGAAGGTGCCTTCCACGTGCATGTCCTCTGTATAAACAAAGCGCCCTGCTAAGCTAGGCTCACGTGCCCGTGCCTTCTTCTGCACTCTAGATGTTTGTGAGATAAAGCATACCATTTCTACGGCGTGTATTATGGTTTGTGTCCAGCGTTATCAAGCTTTCACATTTTGGGGGGGTAGTAACGAGCAACATGCCATCAGTAGCTCTCAGTAGCTCGTCGCTCAAATGTTGTTACTCTAAAGCGTGAGTTATCGAATGACTCTGGCCAAGCCAATCCAGCCAATAACTTTGCTCGCCGAATCTGAGCACCATCAACTCTCTAAAGATGTCAACGATTTCTTCCAGCTTAGCACGAATGAGAACCTGGGCAATACTCGGCCACGGAGAGGCATGGCAACTCCAACCAGCGGCCGTCGCAGGGGGGCCACCAAGCTCTACAGTTCGGAAGACCATCAGCTCGACCAGATCGCCAAAGAGGTGAGTCGTCCCGCCCCTAGATGGCAGCACTCGGGATTCTGTTTTCTGCCACTACGTCGTTCCAACTGAACTGGTGGAGTTGCCCAGTGCTCCCAGAGCATTTGAGCTAGACGACGACGACGAATACGACACCTGCTGTACGCCTTGCTGACGCTTGCGGCGGAAGAGGGGACTATTCTTTCTTTCTATGGGATTCATCCAACGGAAATGCCGACGCATTTCCATCAGACTCAATTCAATGAATGCGTGGCCTTGGCTTCCGTGGTTGCTCTTGGATAGGATCAGCCATATCACTTGTGGAAAGAACCACATCCATCGCTGAAGCGGCAACTGAGCTGGGCCGCATTCCAAAGCGGAGCGGCGCCTGCTCGCCTCTGGCTCCGCGCCTATTGTGCGACACTTATATTGGTCCGAAGCGCTGACGTCAGCACATGTCACCCTATCCCTCTCTCCCCCTGCTGTGTGGAGACATTGAATCTGTAAATTCGGTACCTCCTCACCACCCCATTCCCTTCGCGACGTCATGCATGACACTGACAAACGGATGCACAGGCTGACACCGGCAGGGTTTCTTGGAAACAAGCGTTCTATTGCGCATTAAAAAATAAAATCGTAAAAGTAATGTTGCCTATTGGGATGAGAGGTTTCGGTTTTAATTTTCTGAGTGCAGATGTTATTTTTTGCTATCTGTGATTTGACAATCAATCAAACAATTTTCACGACTATATTTTTTATGGGAATATTATTTTTTTTTATAATGAGATGCTTATTTAGGTATTTGAAGGTATGTTTTGCCCAGAGCAAATAATACTTCTACTATGCATTCAATGTTAAAGGGGCCCTGCAATGACTTTTTCACTAATTTTTAATTTGCACAGAACCTGAGCGCACTGAACGTAGTAACTTAGTGAAACTTTTCTCTTCTCAAAATTCCCTTTATTTTAAAAGTTATAGGCAAATTAAAATTACAAAAACAAGCAAAAAATAACCTCCCTCATGACGTCCTTGGTTGCTTGAGAGTGGCCGTGAACTAGAGGAGAAGTAGTGAGCTCATTGAGCGCTCACGGCTGCCGCACTCCGTGTCGACGGCGCGAGAGGGCGCCATTGAAGCGTGTTCTGGATAGGCTGTATGCAGCGGGCAGCCAGAGCGGCTCTCATTGCATTTGCTGCGCGATTAAATACTAATTCGGCATGACACTTCATTGTCCACAAACGACAGCAAACACGGGGTAAAGATCAGTTCAGAACGGGAGCCACTTCGCGCTGCCATACCGCCAAAGGGCTAAATCGCCAGCCAAGCCCGCGCCGAGAGCCTTGGAAACGCTTGGAACCGGTAGGATCCTCGAGCCAGTATACGACTGCAGCGCCGCCGCGTACATCCGGGACCTTTCCGTGTCGGCGCCTGATCCCACTATTTCTTTCTAGTATGCGCCGCTTTTTCCACCGCTTGGCGGCGGGTATATCGGCGTGTCATTTCTTGTTTCTGTACTTTATGAACTGCATTCGTTTCTTTTTTGATCTAAAATACTGAACAAAAACTACTTTTATAAATAATTGAAACGGTTCGGCGCCACTTATATTTTGTATTTCGACTAAAAAGAAGCTTTGAGCGACTCTGACCAGTAGTAAGCCCAGGACCAAAGACGTCACATTTTGCACACTTTCGGTACCGCGGGTCGCCCTCGTCGGTGGAGGAGGTTTCCGCGTTGTCCGGTTAAAATATGACGCACTGATATTTAGTTACTCTCTCCGTGCCCGTTGGCTTGCCTGAACCCCAAGAAACGTGGAAAACGCAAAAAAGGTTGACGCTTAAATATGATTGCAGGGCCCCTTTAAGTGATTAAAGAGGCAATCAATATTTATGAGTGTGGAAGATAGGGAGACCTTGCAATTTTTACGCATTCATAAGATGACGTCTTTGTAAAACTAGAAGGAATGAAATTTCACTTGAACGATAAATGTGCATTCACCCAGGACGTCCTTTTTTTTTTTTCTATTCCTTTTGTTAGGTGTGCAGTTTTTAAATTTTCAGTACGGAAAATAAAGCAGCCAGTCTCTGGGCGCTAATATCTTGTTCAGTTGGCTTCTATTACTTAGCATGTGTTACTCAACATTTTTGAGGTTGGTAAGGGGTTTACAAGAACAGCCGGGAAAATACCAAACTGACCGCACGACCAATGAAATGATACAGACACGAGGAGAAAGGTAGAAACTTTTTCTGGATTATCTCTTTGGGTTTGGGGAAATCGTAGGTGCTGCAAAGTGACGGCGATGCGTAATGGTGTAGGATAATCCGATTCTACTGGGATTTGCCCAACTGATTGGTCTACGGATCAGTGATGCGTAATGATGTACGACGAGCTCGGTCTCGTGCAGCAACTGGAAGTCTTACCGTCGTCGGTCGTGCGTGCCACTGGTGTCCTTGTGAAGTGGTGCCTGCCGTGCCTCTGGACGAGGTGTGCTGACTACTGAGAGTGATGAGCTGTTGGTGAAGGAGGTGGGGGGGCACCGAGGAATTTGGCCACCAAGGCGGCTCTGATGTCTGTGGGTGGGTGGGGAGGGGTGCCTTATAAATAAACGGCTCTCTCTTCGTGCGAAGGCCGTAAAGCGGTTCTTGGGTTTGTTTTCTGAAAATGGAAGGGTGTGGGGGAGGGATGCAAACAGTGATCAGGGTGCGACCTTGAGCTGTGCTTTCTCTTGAGGTTTGGGAGGATATATTTTGTGGTGTGCGTTAATTGGAGAAGTGACGTTGAGTTGAGGCTGTCTGTTCTTAAAGATAATTTTTTTTCTCTCAGCATGATTGATTGTTTGAGTGAATACAAAAAGGAAGAAAATAAACAACAACAAAATAAAGAAGGAAGAAAAATTTTTTTAGAGGG